GTTTATGTAAATAGTAATACAATTCAAAAGCCAAATCTACCACTGGGGAAGGTTCAGGAAAATCTAGCTCCCCTCCCTGTACCCATGGCCCATTTTTACATTCTGCAGCCCAGATTTCCCCTGTGCCTTTGAATAAGAACACATGTGCAGAGACGATCTTCAGCCCATTTCTTAGAGAAGGAGAGCACGTGACCTGATCTGTGGCATTTGGTAATGTTAGGAGCCAACCGCCCCATAGTGGTATGCGGGAATGTTACAATCTTTTTGTTTTAATAGGTTAATTGAGGAGAGGGAAACTTTTTGAATCAATTGATATGTTTGATACCACTTCTACTGTATTTTTGAAGATATGTGGACATAGTTATATAATCTTTTACCCTCTTTTATGTGTGTTTGGATAGTTGAAGTGTTTGCAGCTCAGGTCTGGTTACAGTTACATTGATGCCTTTATGGAATAATACCTCAGTCCCCTCCGCTTGCGTCTCTTGGTTCCTTCACATCAGCGTTGTTGACAATCAGCTGCAACCTTCTCTGACACTGCATTTACTTCTCTGACACTGACACTGTTAACAAGAGGTAACAAAAGTAACCTTTTGTCACTCCCAGTTTGCACCGCACCCAGAGGCAGCCGGGAGCTCATCTCTTTTCCGCCTGCTCCATTCCTCTACCCGCCCCTCCCCCCAAGACTGCTGCGTCTGCCTCACTGCCAGAGCACGCACCCCCTCTCCGGAGCACACAGTCTTAGTTCTGCACTCACGTTCGTATTTCGTATTCGACACTGAAACTCCTTAAATGTGTCTTCCTTCTTTCTGTTTTTTTGACGCTTGAGCTCCAGTGATTGCTCTGAGCCCCGGCACTGAGCTCTTTCGAGCTCCTGACTCTTTTCCTGCAGCCTTGACACTCGAAGGTTTCTCGTAGACCTGCCTTGCTGACACATTTCTGTTGCTCCCTAGGAATGTCATTCTCTTCACTATTTTCTCTTCCTTGGCAATGAATGTGCTGGGCCCTCCACTGTAATGCTTTTCTCTACCAGTAGGGGGGAGGGCTTTTCCTGTAGTATTAGGATGGGAGGTTAGGGCAGGACGCCCAGCGTTTTTAGTCTCAGAATTCTCTGGTTCCCCCCTCCACCCCACCCCTGGGGTCCCCATGCTATTCTTAGCAACAAGTGTTGGAGACAGGCCTGCACTTTCTTCATGTTGCCTGACACCCTGATTTGCATAGGGACCCTCTCTGACCTTGGCCCCTCCTGTCCCGGTCCTACTCAGTTCAGATGCTGTCCCCAGCGGAGCCGTGGTACTCCCATCTTTTAAATCCCATCTATTCCTGTCCCCGAAGGGGATGTCAGCCAGACATAAAACTTTCTCAGAAGGGCTGGAGTTTTATTCTTTATACACATATCCAAGGAATCCAACCTGAGGCTTTTCAATATGCTTTGACATTACAATGTACTTTTAAAATTCTACTAATTCTACAAAATAAGAATTTTTATATTTTTAAATAAATTGATAAGGAAAACTCAAATGAATGAACTATTAAAAAAGAAAATGACATGAAAAGAATATTGTGAAAAAGATGAGATGTTCAAAGAGGGGAGGAAAAGTGTTCAACCTTACTAGTAGTTTTGACATTCCTTGAAATAATAGCCCATTTTTGGCTTATCAGAGCAGTGGGACATTGAACACGTGTGTACACAGGTCATTGTCCCTGGGCCTCTGGCAAAGCAGACACTCATTCTCAAGCATGGAACTGAATAGGTACATTGTGACAACCCTCTTGAAAAGCAAGCAGTTCGGTGGTGTGAAGCAAATATTCTTTGATCCAGCAACTAGGTTTGGGGAGATACAAACTAGGAACATAATCTGGTGTAGCAAACAACGATTGTGCCCGATATGTTCATCACACCATTATCTGCAATACTGAACTATTGGGGGGAAGCTCAAATGTTCTAGGGCAGGGAAATAGGGTTCTTAAATTGTTGTTATTTACCAAAAGTGAATGTGAAAATACTCATTATAATGCTAATAAAATGGTGTGTGCTTGTATGCAAAGACATGGAATGTTTCTACTACAAAATGAAGATTCCACAGACAAAAATATTTGTTGTGTGCATTCAAGTAACTTTTTCTTCTTTCTACACTTGTGTATTTTCCAAATATTCTATAATGAAAATATATATTAGTTTCTTACATTAAAAAAAAGCATTTCCAAATTTCATTTCTGTTTTTCAATGCCACGTTTAGCCCCAGTTTCTTTATTTCCTAAACAGAGATGGCAGGCATGCTCGTCCTTCTCTCCGGGCTAGGTCTAGCACGGGTGCACAGGGCTGATGGAGCAGGTCTTCCCTGGCAGGGCGCAGCCAGGCCGATGCTCTCCAGGCTCTGAGAGGGGTGCATGTGGCCTGCAAAGCTCGCCTCCTGTCCCCCCCCCCAGTGAAGAGTTGGGGGGGGCTGAGGCTAGAAGGATCTGGCACCTTTGGAGACAACGGAGAGGAGAGGGATGGCCAGAGCACAGGGAGCAGGAGGATCAAGAGGACTGAGGCCTCAAAGGCCTCCTGTGGCCTCGCAGGTCCTGGAAGGAGTCTGGGTGCTTTTCTGGAAGTCATTAGCAGCCTCTGAAGGGCAGAGTGTCAGCCAGGAAGGCACCGGATCTGGAGTTAATTTTCTGCAGCTCACGTTGACTACGCCCTACAGAGGGTCCTCAGTTGGGGCCCCAGAGGTCAGTGGGGTTATGTCTCACCATCTTCAGAACAGGGACAGAATGGGATAAGGGGAAGAGACTGGTCCCACGTGTGTTCGGGGGGAAAAGGCCAAGGAAACCAAGTGGGGACAGAGGCCGTGAAGGCAGGAAGGGGCCCCGACAGATCACCAGGTCCCCACCCCCCTACTGCCCCCCGCGGCTGTGGGAGGGTGGAGGAGAAGTCCAGCTTCTCACCTGGGTGAAAGGCCATTGGGATCCTGCTCCGAAGGCCCAGAAGGAAGGGCGGGTGGGCCGGCCCACAGGGGCTTGGGGCCCCAGGAAGCGAATCCAACTCTGGGGCTGGTGACCGAAGCCAGCAGTCGCTCTGCTCCGGGTCAGCGGCAGGGCTAGGGGGGTGGAGCTGACAGCTCCCTGACGTCTGGGGGCCCCAAGGTCTCAGTGAGGCAGCTGACCTCCAGGAGGGCGGAGTGCAGGGGATCCATTTCAAAAGGACACCCGCCCCACCCGGGGCCGCTCTTCCCATCCCCGACCCCCACTCTGAGGCCCTGGCTTCCCGATTGGAAGGCTGGCTGAAGGAGGGGGCGATCCCAGGGGCCGCCCGGATCGGCACGGCACCCCTCCCTCAGCCGCCCCAGCGACGCAGGGACTGGAGTCTCGAGACTGCCCGGCAGGGGGTCCAGCGCCAGCTGTAATTGGGCTGCCGGAGCGGGGAAGGTCGAGGAACCGTCCCTGATAACGAGCAGTAATTAGAGCGACAGAAGTAGCATTTTGCCGGTTGATAGCGATGAGATCTCTCTCCTGGGGAAGCAGGAGGGCGTGGAAACTAATCCCTCGAAAAAAGGCTAATAGCACCCAGGCAGTTAGATGAGCCCCGCCAGCCTCGTCGCAGACGGTTACAGTGGGAAGCCCTGCAGGCTCTCCGTCCCCGGGAGTGTTTGCGAACGCCCGTGGGCGGTCCGCCTCCGAGCCGCCACTCGGGAGAAAAGGCTCCGACTTTTCGGTCTCAGCGCTCCCTTCAAACCGTCTGAACAAATCACCGAGGACCGCTAAGAGTTTTCTTTTATATAGGTTATTAACTGAGTAACTTTCAACGCGTTATGTGTCCGTTTTAAAGCAGCGACGAACTCATTTCACGTGAACTTAAAAACAGTCTTCTTCTTCTTCTTCTTTTTTAATCAGCGACGAGCAGCATTTCGTTACATTTGTGCAATTCTCCGTAATTCCAGAGTTAGTAAAAGGCAGCTGGATTCTCACCGCTCCTTCTGCATTCGGGAGGCCCCTTCCTACACTCGTGGGGAAGTGAGCGAAAGGGGCAAAGAACGTCCGAGGGTCTTACAGACGTGGCTTTCGCCCCAGGCGCCCCCTGAAGGACCTCAGGCACCCTCGCGTGTCCGCAGATCACGGGTGAGAACCGAGGCCAGGGAGAGCCAAGCCCCCAGCGGCGTGGGGGGAGCGGGACGCACGACCCACTGAAGCCCACGCGGACCCAGGAGCCCCCCTCCGCCACCAGGCTCCAGGGAGGACGCCCGTGGTTTCCTAGAGCTCGTGCACTTTGTCGAGCCCCAGGTTTACTTTGGAGAACTTCTCCCGGCCGGGACCCATCCGTGGCAGCAGCAGAGGGCGGGTGGACCACGACCTGCTTCTCGAGCCCAAAACGCTGCTGCCTGGAAAACAAAAGTGAGAGGGAAGAATGTGTTCGGTACAAACGTCGCTTCCGCGTTCATTTGGCAGAGAGCCCAAATATAGAACGTTGTGTTTATTATGATCTTTTCCTGTGTTTCGGGGAGAAACTAATACACGTGTAGCTGGGAAAAGACACAGCAACTGCTTGTAATGATTGGTTGTCTTTGGGGAGATACAGAAACTTTGAAAATGTTTAAACCTTCCGGCAATGAAGGACATGTTGTGCACAACTGTTCCTTGTACCAACGCACTTGGTCCTTCAAGAAGAGGCGGCAAGAGGGGTTCCCGCCGAGTCTGTGCGCTCTAGGGGTAGCGGGGTAGCCCGAGCCCGCGCCTTTCGCCTGCGCGCCTGGAGCACGCCCCGCCCTCCGAGCCCGCCCAGACGCCGCTCTTGTCCTGCCCCCGCCCCTGCTTCTTCCCATTGGCTGAGCGCTTCCGCGTAACGCCCAATCGCAGCGCTTTGCGCCAAATTTGAATCGCTGTTTTCTTTTGAATCGGGAGCAGGCGGCGGGCGGCGTACTGCGCCTGCGTCGCCAACGCTGCGCATTTCAGGGACACAGCTGGGTGGGCCACCCGGTCAGTGGGGAGGGCGACGGCGGGGGGAGCGGGGACTGCGGCCGCGGCGGAGGTGGACGCGGGCCTGCGGGCTGCGTGCCCGACGGGGGAGCGCGGGGCGGGCGGTGGGCTCAAGTGGACGCGTTGCGGGCTCCTCACCGCGCGGGCCCGGGCAGCGCCCAGACCGGCGGCGGACGCCCGGGCGGCTGAGCGGGCGCCTCGGCCTGGGTGAGTCGGGGCACCCGGGGGCGGCGGCCGCGGAGACCCCTCCGGGCTCCGGCTCCGGGGTCTCGCGGGGGGGTCTCCCGGGCGGCGGGTCCTGGGGGCGCTGCGGACGGGAGGGCGCCCGTGCGGGCGGCGCGGGGCTGGCCGGGGCTCCCCGGCTGTCAGACGGGGAGCGGGCGGGCGTCAGCGGCCTCGGCGCCTCGCACCGGCGGCCGCGGTCGGTCGGCCACCCCGGCGACTTCGGGCTCTTTGCTTTCAGAGCAGCACGCGCGTTCCCGCGGCGGAGGACGCGCTCGTGAGCTCGCTGCTGCCCGGCTCTCCCACCCGGAGGGCCCTCGCCGCGCCGTTTGGAAGATGGGCCCCGCGGGACGCCTGGTGACCATCAAGAGGAGCGGCGGGGACGGCGCCCACTTCCCGCTGAGCCTGAGCACCTGCCTGTTCGGGAGGTGAGCCCCGCGCACGCGCGGACCGCCGAGCCGTCCCGGAGTAACGGACCGGGGACCGCGCCCGGGCTGGGTTCGTCGCAGAACGGAGCCTCGGAAACAGCGTCTTGGGCTCAGTGGGGCTCTTGTCAGGCGTCGAGGCCGCAGGCGGCTTGAGGGCAGGTTTAGGTGGAGGAAAGCGGAGAGGGCCCGGCGTCCGGTGTCAGGTCAGGCGTCTGGAGCAGACCGTTGGTGCCTCGGAAAACGCCGGGGACACGGACGGGGTCTGGACGGGGCCGGGGGCGCACTGCAGAGCAGAGGAAGGAGGGAGGGAGGCGCCTGTGGGGCTTGCTGGCCTCGGAGGGGGGGGGGATTGAAATTGGGAGGGCCCCTCCCGCTAGTGTTTTGAGAAGTTCTCCCGTGGTGCCTTTCTGGGTCGGCGATGGCCATCACTGTGGTCCCCTGTGACCGGCCACGCTATTAATCGCCCCCTCGTTAATTTCTAGCAGGCGCCGGTTTAGACAGATAATAGGTCGCTCTCTCCCCGGGGCCCCCGCGCGGTGCCAGCTTGACCCCCCTGCTGTCCACGCCGGGTGCTGCCGGGTTCCACGCCACCTGCGGCGTCTCCGGCTTGTCTGTCCCACTACCGGGCTCCCGGAGGACAGGACTGTTGGTTAGTGATTCCGTCCTCGGTGTGCGGTGGGGAGCCGGCGTGCACGAGCAGTATTCAGCGCTGGGGCTGCAGAACCGGAGTCAGTCTGCTGCCGCGGCTCTAGGTTGAGGGCCCTCGGGCCCCTAGGGAGGCATTTCCGCGTCCCAGCCTGGGAGGCTCAGGCTCCTGGCGTCGGTGAGCCCAGATCAGGGGCGCTGCAGCTCGTCCCACAAGGCAGAGGACAGTCCCCTCTGTAAACAGTTGTGTGGCCCAGGTTACTGGCTCTTGTCTGTACCGATCCGAGTTGGCAGGCTCCTGCCAAACAATTTCTCCGTTCTCTCTTGCCGGAATGTTCTTCTACCTAAGAATCAAATTCTCTTTGTTGACGTAAAGTGGCTGTTCGCTTCCCATAGCTTCTTTTCTAAAGAAAAAAAAGTATAAAAACACGTCGGTACCAAATGGCAGTAATTGTGGTTATTCTGCGGCAGTGATTAGGGGATTGTGCAAGACTTGTAACTTAGAATCCCACTAATGCCTTTGGTCACAGGACGTGGGAGGTGCCTACTGAGAACAGAGATGAAAAGTGTAGCATTGTACCAACTCACAAACAAGCCCGCAGGGCGGTAATGGGAACACCCAGGGCCTCACCAAGGCCCCTGGTGGGTTTGGGGGGTCTCGGTCCTGCACTTCCTGCTGGGCTTAGCTGTCTTGTGAAAAGACCAGTTGAATCCAGATACTTTTTTTATTTGTTACTTGTAGACTAGTATTTTTAGGGATAGACTTGTGAATCTGTTAGTTAATGACATATAGTTATTTTATTTTACTTACTTATTTTTAGAGAGAGAGGAAGGTAGGAATAAAGTGAGGGAGAGAAACATCAGTGTGTGGTTGCCTCTCACATGACCCCCACTGGGGACCTGGCCCACAACCCAGGCATGTGCCCTGACTGGGAATTGAACCAGGAACCCTTTGGTTTGTAGTCTGCGCTCAATCCACTGAGCCAGACCAGCCAGGGCTAATGGAATATAGTTTTAAAACAATAAAGAGCTCACAAGTAATAGCATTTACTGTTTTTTCAGGCAGATGACAAATGTGCATAACTCAGTCTTTTGGAGAACACCATGATATAAGGTGCTGATGTAATTCTTTTTGTATTTCAAGAAACTGAGGCACACAGAGAGAGAGAGAGAGGTGCTGGGATCAAATACAGCACTTTTGGTGATGATTAAACCTTAGCCCTGGCTGGTGTGGCTCAGTGGATTGAGCGCTGGCTTGCAAATCAAAGCGTCACCTGTTCGATTCCCAGTCTAGGGCACATGCCTGGGTTTCAGGCCAGGGCCCCAGTAGGGGACAGGTGAGAGGCAACCACACATTGATGTTTCTCTCCTTGTCTTCCTCTCTCCCACCCTGTCTCTAAAAAATAAAATCTTAAAAAAACAACAACTTAAAAACCTTAAACTATATACCACATTACAAATGAACCTACATAAACCTTTTTGTCGAAAAAACAGCAGTGTATTAATAGTAATTCTCATTCTGCAAACTGATTTAAAATATTCCTTTAGGTGGGTTTTATAAGCCTAGTATTTTAGTGAAAGGCAAGTCAATTTCATATAGTAATGTTGTAATTATTTTTAAGTGCTCTGAGTTTTAAGGATTTAAAGTACTTGCTTATATAACACTTGTAAAAACTATTAGCAAAGTTCAGAGCTGATTGACCTCACCCAGTTGATTATGCTGTTATGCTTACACATCCAATTATAGCCCAGTGCCATGCTGTTTTGTTTTGAAACGTCGATATAATTTTTTAAGTGTGAGAAGGTAAAACTCCGTTTTTTCTGATGAAGGGGCGTTGAGTGTGACATCCGCATCCAGCTTCCTGTTGTGTCCAGGCAGCACTGCAAAATTGAAGTCCAAGGGCAGAAGGTCAGCGGGGTTCGGGAAGAGGAGTTTCTAAGGAGCATTCAGCTCTCCTACCACCTAGTACGACCCATTTCCCCGTTTCTCTACTTGCAGGCAGTCTTGTTCAATTTCAGTGCCGCAAATCCAACGCAGGTGAATGGATCTGCCATCGACGGACCCGTGCAGCTGAAACACGGCGACGTGATCACTGTCATTGACCGCTCTTTCAGGTGGGTTGGAGTCACAGGCCTCCTGACTCCCCCAGACCGGCCTTGCAGGCCACCTGCAGCTCTTCTTCCACGCGGGTGAATGTCAGCAGGTCTGAGACTGTCATTCTCCATGCCAGCTCCTAGCTTGAGATGGGGCGGACACACGGGGCCTACTCGATCCTGGTAAAGGGTTTGCATCCCCAAAGTGGGTCCGAGGCGGGCTGGTCCCATGGGAGTTTTAGTTTGTTGTGTTGAGAAACTGCACACGTGGTTTAGTTTATTATTTTAGACTAAAATATACTGGTCAAGAAAGGTTCAAAACGAGATGAGGCGAATAGCCCTGGGGTCATCACGTGTTCCGGGCTAAATGGAGTCCCCTCCCCCCGCAAGTCCATGTGCTGAAGTCCTAACCCCCAGGACCTCACAATGACCGCTTGGAGCCGAGGCCTCTGAAGAGAGCAGTGGGTTAAACTGAGGCCTGCACTACGGGCCTGAATCCAATCCGACTGGTGTCCTCCGGTGAGGAAATGAGGACCCAGAGAGAGGACCTGGGGCGCAGGTACTCAGAGGGGCACCTCGGTGTGCAGGTGGCAAAGGGGAACCGTAGCAAGGCAAGAAGCAAGGCCCAGAGGAAACCAACCCTGCTGACACCTTGACCTGGGACTTCCAGCCTCCAGAACTGTGAGAAATAAGTTGTTTATGCCGCCCAGTGGGTGGTATTTTGTTATGGAAGCTCTAGCAAACTAATCCACCACCGAAGGCATAATTAGAACATTTCCAGAAGCTTCTTTCCTGTGTCTTCTAAAATCACTGCTTCTTTCTCTCACCAAGTAAAGCACTAGCGTGGCTTTCTGATCGCATGAGACTCTCTGGGGTTTACTGCCTGAGCCTGCACCCTGACCCCCGCGGTTCTGCCTGTGAGACCCCATCAGTCTGTGATAACGGGGTGTGCTTGGGACTGACTCCGCTCCCGTGGTGGTGAGGCTCTTCTCACTGCAGGGACAGCCTTCTCCCTACGTCACGTGGCCGGTTAGAGACACAGCCACCCACAGCTGGTCCTTTCTCTGCGTGGACAGGGGAGTGACTTCCAGTTTCTCAGTTTGCCTTGTGGTCAGATACGTCTTTCGCTGCTCTACGTGTTGGAAAACCAGGTGCCCTCTGCAGCCCTCACTGTTCTGCCCGTGACCATCAGGTTCACGTCTCCTGCACCAGAGTCGCCGTCCTTCCACCCTGGTTCTTGTTCCACCAGGGATGTTAACATCCTCCATTGAGGGTTGTTTTTGTTTGTTTGTTTGTTTGTTTGTTTGTTTGTTTATTTTAGTTTTGTTAGTTTTCTTTCTATACCGGAGACTCAAATATGCATGTAAGTTCAGGACGATCCAGTGGGTGAAGTTCTATCATTTATCCTTTTGACTCATTCTATGCCTTTAATAATGCTTTTGATGAGGATTTCATGTGTAATTTTTTTCTATCACATATGTTCAACTGTTTATAATCCTTAAGGCTTAGGGTCACGCTGGGAACCAGCTGTTAGGTGTCCTTGCTGTTTCTAATTGAGCTGTCTTCTTGCCAGAGGGACTTTTGAACATTGGAAAATGTGCTCGGTCTCTGAGGACTGTGTCCGTCCCCCTGTCTGAGTCAGGGTGGCCCCGCCAGCCCTTTGCTGGTTGCTGTTTGCAGGAATAGCTTTTCTGCACTTTTCCTGTCATCCTGTTTGTGGTTTTGAATCACCTTTTCACTCGTTTTGCTGAGTAGGACTCTGCCTTTCTCACAGCCTTCATGAGAGAGTCTCTGCTGTACCGTCTGAATATCCAGGTCATTTCTCTCATCATGCTTTTCATGAATTCGCTTCATTTTTAAAGGGTATTTTTATTGACTAGGAAGCTTTAGGGAGGAAGTATTTGACGTGGAAGGAGACAGGGAATATTTCCTCAGAATGAGATTCTGTTCAATTTCACGTTAATTGATGATTGAACACCTCCGACAATGAATAGGTAATGGGTCTTAGGAGGATCTAGAACCCTGCCCTGTGAGTTTAGTTCCAGACACCGAGCCACTTCTGGTGGCTTCTAAATTCAGCTCAGCCCTGGTTGGTGTGGCTCAGTGCATTGAACACTGGACTACAAAGCAAAGACTCGCAGGTTCAGTTCCCAGTCCGGGCACATGCCGGGTTGTAGGCCAGGTCCCCAGTAGGGGGCACATGAGAGGCAACCATGCCCTGAGGTTTCTTTCCTTCTCTTTCTCCCTCCCTTCCCATCTCTCTAAAAATAAATAAAATATTAAAAAAAAAAATTCAGATCAGGCCATGTCACTGTGTACCCAGGTTCTTTCTGCATTTTAAAAGGTGGATCCCTGGGGTTGGTGAGAACAACTAGACGTTCTCACCGACCTGGTGAGATCTTGCTAAATGCCTCTCGTCTTCATAAACTGCCTGTGTTTGTCCGCGTGCAGATGGACTGAGTGGGGAACCGAAGAGATCAGAGCGATCTTAAGTCAGAGCCCAGCTCTGCAGTCTCTGCAGGGAGTGGTGGGTCGGGGTCCAGGCCCCTGACACCCCCGGGCTCCCTGGTGGGCTGCCAGCCCGGCAGTTGTTTTCCGTGAACGTAAACCAGCGAGCGTCCACTCCTGTTCTCAATGCAGTGGGTTTGCACGGAGGTGCTTGGGGAGTGTGAAGCCTACGGGCTGGTCAGTGTTAAGAAATTAATTTGGGCCCCCAACCCTGGACATGGGGTTCCAAAAAAAACTTGAGGCACCTTGTCTTAGTTTCTTTCAGTAAAAAGCACTTCGTGGCTCGAAATTAATTTCTAGGAATAAGGTACTGATTTATTTTTTTTAAGAGATTCTAGAGATTTATTTTTAGAGGGGGGCGAGGGATAGAGAAAGAGAGGGAAGACACATCAATGTGTTGGTTGCCTCTTGCGCACCCCCTTACCAGGAACCTGGCCCACAACCCGGGCATGTGCCCTCACTGGGAATCGAACTGGTGACTCTTGGGTTCCTAGGCTGGCACTCAGTCCCCTGAGCCACACCAGAAGGGCAGGAATAAGGTGACATCTTGAAGACAACATGAGGTCTGTTCCTTGCCGCTTGGTGTCACTCAGACACGCAGGCTTTGCTGTCAGTCACAGATCAGTGAACCGAGTTTGTGTTCTGTGCACCTCAGGTATGAAGACGGCCGTCATCAGAGTGGAAGCACATCCGCCGAGTTTCCAGGACAAAGGCGTGGACAGGTGATGGGGGTCTCATCGCACCTTGGGCTCTGATTTTTGGGCGTGAAGAGAGGACATCGTTTGTGTGCATGTCGATAAACAGTTCTGGGCAAGGGAAAGTGTAACGGAGGCAGTAACACAAGTTGAACTTGGATTAAAGTAACTTGAAGCTGTACTTCCTCTTTTATTAAAAACTAGAGCTCTGAGTTAGTCTTCCCCACTTGGCCCGAGGGCTCTGGGGCTGCTCAGGATCTGACTCACAAACCTTTGGCTGGGACAGCCGCAGGGCAGAGAGCAGTTTGGGAACGGCACGCTCCGGGGGCTCCTGGGCGGCCCGTCACCGCTCTCTGCCACCCTTGTCCCTCTGCAGCGGTCACATCGGGGTTGTGAGTCCCACGGCTGGTTCCTGGTTTTGGTGGACAGGTGACCCATGACCCTGGGAGGGAATTACCGCCCCCAGTCATGTGGCAGCGTCTTATTACTTGTGTCCATCAGTGCAGGACACGTACTCCAAATGGTGCAGCTTATCACAGCGCAGTCTGGGCCTGCCCTTGGAGACGTGGTGGGCTTGACGGTGCCAGGCACAGCCTCAGAATTTCTCTGACGAAGCTGCCCGCGCTTGTCCAGGATCGGGTTGGGGTTGCTGGAGTCTTATTACAGGCACCCCTGAAATTAGCAACAGGTGCTTTGAGGAAGACATCTGCACCTGTCCAGTACTGTGTCTGCCCCGGAAGCCTTAGTGTTGACCCCACGGCTCGTGGGCTTTGGGGGGAAGGCTAGGTATTGAGATATCCCACCCACCCGCCATCATTCTGACTTGTTAGTAGGTGGGAGGGAACCGCCCAGTGAGAGGGCTGGGCTGGGGGTTAGGCGAGAGTGCTCTGTGGTCTATGGACTCTTTATTATCTGGGTGGGACAGAGTGCTAAAATGAGTATTTAGAACATGCTGTAGCAATTCGTACATACTTTAAAATATCACTTAATTTTTATTGTTTAGTCCTGTCTTGGTCAACTTCTGGTTGGAAATTAGAAGCTGATGCTGCCATGTCATGTTTGAGAAGCAAGGTGTTAGATACCAAGAAATTGGAAACTGATTTTTAAAAGTTAAATTATTTGCCTTTGGATATATTTTGTGGATCCCCCTACCCCCCAAATTATTCACATGCTATATTTCCCCTTCGGGAAATCAACACTGGACTTTTCTATCTTGAATACGCACTGCCGTGGGCCTTTCCTCAGCCCTGAAACATTCCCCGCCACAGACTGGGCAGCGCTGCCCCACGGACAGCACCACGGTGCCCTGCGGTGTTGGCCTCGACCCTGGGCCCCAACACCCAGGAGTCTGCCAGCCCAGAGCACATGTGCAGAGTCCCCCGTGGGTCCCACAGCCGGTTCCTGAGGAAACGGAGTCTGAAGTCAGTAACTCGGTGCCTTTGGCAGGTTCCCTGGTACAGCGTGTAGGTGAGGTTTCACTTTAACGTCCTTCGAGGATGAAGAGAAAGAAGTTGGAGGAGGTCCTAACAGCTCACTGAGGTTCAGTGTCAACAGTTTCCAGCTTCAAGTTTGGTTTTTATTCCATCACTATATTTGTATTCAGAGAGCTGGCCCCTGCATGTCGGGGGCTCATGTCTCCAAGTCTAAGAGTTACAGAAGGACAGCTGGGCAAAGAAGATGGCCAGCAGGTAGAACATGTTCATAAACTGGACCGTCGGTTCCGGAACAGGTGCTAAATCACTGTTTGTTCTTCACCAATTCACAGGCCTCTCCACGTCGGGTCTCCAGGTCTAGCTTCTCTTCCAACCCTGGTTAGTAGTGTTTTGTTTTATTTCGGATCCGGCGAGGTCAGTTCTCTGGGGAGTGTTGTGATGGGGGGTTGGGGGTGGGGAGGAACAGGGTCACGAGAGGTCCGGGCCCATGGGAGTAGACAAACGTGAGCAGACCCCTGAGTTAAGGCTCTGCCCAGGTGGCGTGCGGCTCCCCGTGCTCACCGGAGGGCACACACGTGAGTAAAGAGTCCTGCTCTGGTGTCTGCTTATTTCCGAGCAGATGAGTAACGTTTGCTGTCTGGGATTGCTTACAGGAGACTAACGTATTGCCTTATTTTGATCATAATCCTAGTATCAGAATACGGTTATTACACAGTAACTTGTAGGCCAAGGGAAAATTTTGGTTGTGAGACAGTTTTAAGTTTTCAAAACTGCCCGTATTAATCACTGAGAAAACCTTGAACTTGTTTCTTATTTCTAAACTCACTGTCAAGATGGTGAAGTTGAAGGTCACGGTGCTGCCTGCCCCCAATTCACTGAAGAAGGTGTTTCAGAAGAGCCTCTGGTCCTCACGGAGGGTGTCCGGGTGGCCCGTGCCATCTCGCGCAGCTCTGGAGGTCCTGCTCCCAGGACCCCCGCTGATGGGCACTGCTCAGAACCCCTCGGAGATGACCGCAGAAACACGGCGGGTCCCCCGGCCGGGAGCCCTGGGGAGGGTTCCCGTGGGACCCTAGTGAGCAGGAATGGAGAACCGGAGGCTGTTCCCTCTCCGTGGTGTCTCGAGAGGGGTGGGGAGAAGGAGTCTCCCTTTAGGAAGCTTTATGAGTCCATGAAGGAAAAGTTAGATGAGAAGTCAGAAAAAGAGAATGTTCTACAGCATCGTAGAAAATCGGGGTCCCGGGGTCACTGTGCCGCCGACTCTGAAAGCGTTGGTGGTTCATGGGGCGGGACGGCACTACAGGGCTCCCCCAAGTCTTGGCGGAGGTCCTGGCGGGGCTCCCAAACAAAGGCCGTCCCCGCTCCAGAACAGCGAGAGGAAGAGAGAGCAGGCGAGGGGCCTGGCCCCACTGCTGAGGCCACCGCGAGTCCCAGCGTCTCCCCCACGGAGACGATAAGAGGCAACACCCCCGTCCCGTGCTCACACCGAAATTCCTCACGGAAGCGCCGGAGCGGAGGCGGGAGCTGTGTCCACGCGGGTGAGCCCGTGAACCCAGAGCAGACTGCGGCTTGCACTCCGAAGAAGCTCTTCTCTGAACACGGAACGCCCACCAGAGGCGAAAGTGCTGACGACTTCGGAGACACACCAGAGAAAGTCTTTTCCAGAAAGAGGCGGAACAGCCTCCCTCCAAAGGTCGACATTCGTGCTACGGAAACAGAAATTCCGAAGCCAGCAGTGCTCACCCCTCTGCGGGTCCACGTGGAGAGGAAGGTTCCAGGCGGTTCTCTCGGGCCGCCCTGGCCACTGGGCGCCGCAGCTGGCTGCCCTGGCCTCAGTTCCACTGATGTCAGCGACTGGGAGGAGTCCCCTCGTAAGTTTACTTTAAGGTCATTTTCCCCCAAAGGCCCTATGTACCTCCATGTACAGTGACTTCACAAGATGACCTGTGTTACAAGAACGGTGCGCTCTGTGCCCGAGAAGCCAGGACTAAGGGCCCCAGTCAGAGGCCTTCATGGTCCACGTCAGGAGCTTTGTCCTGAGACCTGGTGGTCACTGCAGGGCGTGGTGGCAGGCCAGGTGGTTAGAGAAGGGCAGGTATAGCCGGGGCTCCGCGGGTGCTGCAGACCTTTCCATTCCATTGTCCTGTTGCGTCCACAGCAGCATAGACAGGAGAGTGAGCGTGACCGCTCTGCCCACGAGGCTCAGCTGCTCTGCCAGCCCCGGGGTCCTGCGAGTTGGACCTTCTAAGTCAGGGAAGTCCCTTGGAAGTCTTTCATTACAGGACTGCCCTCAGGTACTTACGCTGTTCTCAGCGACCCCTACGTGCCGTTGTTTAGGAGACAGGGCACTGTCCCCACGGGTGTGTGTGTGTTAGGCGCTCTTTTGTGGGCCTCGAAGACAGTCACGCTCGAGTGTCCACGGGACAGGCAGTGCCATCTCCATTTCGCAGAGGCGGCACCTGCATGCCCCGCAGTGAGTGGCAGGCACGGTGGCTCCTGGGCGCCTGCCCTTTGTCGGGGTCTCAGGCATCAGATGTGGCCCACTGACCATCGTTCAGGGCGTGTTGTGGGTGCAGTGCAGTTTTCTGTCTTGGGGCCTGCACAGTCAGTCCTCGTGTCTCTGAGTGTCAGGACACGTGTCACTCGGGCACAGGGATTGACGTGGGCCAGGGGTTTGTAAAGATGTGTCCTTGGGGCGGTGTCCTGTGCACAGCCTGTGAGAACCCCCAGCAGAGCTTCCAGCTCATTCTGCTCCCCGGGTAGGTCTGGGTGAGGCCCAGGTATGTGTCTTTGGGGAAAGCTTGCTTGGGTCAGCGCTAAAGCGTCTGTCTCCGTGGCCCCTGGCCCCACAGTGAAGCCTGTGTCAGGTTGAGCCCTCCAGCAGCGGTGTCCGCACAGGACGTGCCAGCATTTTAAAGGGCATCTCTGCTGTCCAGCTGGGATGGGCATGTCATTGGTTTGCCCCCAACCTGTCACAAGCTCTGGATGCAGCGTTTGCTCCCGCAGCATCACAGGAGGAGGAGGGTGCAGGGTGGACGTCCGGGGCCGTGACCCGTGCCATTGATCTGTCTTTAACGGCAATCGGAAGCTCGTCCGTGAGCTTCCACGGTGACCTTCTCCGCCCCCTTCCCTGTTCGTGTCTCTACTTCAGATGAGATGGAGGGGGTGCCCTTGAAGACAAGGCGGGTCTCCTTTGGGGGCCGCCTGAGACCCGAATTATTTGATGAAAACTTACCTCCTAATACGCCTCTGAAGAGAGGAGAAACGCCCATGAGGAGGAGGTCTCTTGTGACCCACGCTCCGGCCGTCCTCAAGAAAATCATCAAGGTACGTGCCACCGCCGGAGGGCCATGTCCTGGGTGTGTCTGTGTGTCTGCCAGCTCCTCACATGAGCAGAGGTACACCAAGACTGTTCTCTTCCTGGTATAAAGAAACTACAAAAAGTCTAGATGAGCTCATTCCCCTGGGGGTTGGGAGAGGAACGCCTTGGTTTCGAGCCACTGCCGGCAGGTGGCGGAGCCCAGGTGAGTCCTTGGGACCCTTCCTGCCCAGGCCCCCTCCCACCTTTGAGGGCCCGAGGTCCCGAGGGCCACTCTGGGGTCGAAGGAACAACCACCAGCTGATAAAAATCTGAGGACGTTATGACACGTGACAATAAGATGGTGGTTTTTCTTTTGGATTTATGAGGAGGAAGGGAAATCTAGGGTGGCAGCCCACCTGCCACCTTCCCTGCCAGCTGCTGAGGATTTTTAATCCGCTCCCCTCAGCTGTGCCGTCCTGGGTGTTAGATCTGGAGGAATGTGGGCACCGCAGTGCACCTCCAGCAGAGGCGGGGCTGCTTCCGTTGCTTTTCATACCTAAGGGCATGTGAGGTGTGTCTGGCCTGCTTCCCTTACACACTGACCCCCGGAAGTGAGTGACCCCTGTTTCCTGCACACAGATGCGGTCACACACCCGCCCACGGGTTCGCTTCGGTTCAAGCCAGAGCCCTCGCTTCCGTGGGCCGCTTCCTCCACCCTCCCCCTGGAATCCCTTAGTTAAGGCTTGTTTGCTGCATGTTTGCTTTCTTTCTTAAGCGATGGGCACACAAGCCCACGCCTGCTTTGGGCTGGATTGGACGGTGGTTGAAATGGTCTGGTGCTTCAGAATTTAAACAGCTAAAATCCTTCCTGTGTGTTCACATCCAGCTTCGTAGGAATTTTTTGAGCATTTGGGAGTGGTCCAGAATCTTCCATGATGACCACTGGACACCCTACAATGAGTTTAAGTTTGGGGTTTGTTGTAGGGTTTTTGCACTTCAGAACAGCTAAGACCCTTAACCGGGCGGGGCTTTCACGGTCACTTTGGAGGTGGGAATTTGTGGTTAGCTTTCTCAGAAACATTCCATCTCATCAGGGACAGCCTCAGGAGTCAGGAAAAGAAGGTTCTTCAGAAGTACGTCTGGAAGTGACCACACAAAACGTGTGCGTGAGCTCCCCAGCTTTCCATCCTACAAAATCATCTTCAGTGGCAAATGACAGTCGCCGCAGGTCATCCAAGCCACCAGCCTCGAGTGGCAGCCAGTCGCCACCTCAGACAGAGGTTCCTAAGAGGGGCGGGAGGAGGAGCAGCAGTGGCGCGCCTTCCCAGAGGGCCCCCTCGGATCGGGGCCAGCACGGCCTCCTGCAGATGATTCGGGCCCGCAGGAGGAGCGGCGCCTCGGAAGCCAATCTGATTGGTGAGTGTTGTGTCCACAGAGGTCTTTTCAGGTGGGTTTCCTCACTGACACTCGTTTGCGGAAGTTTCTGCATCTTTTCCTTTTGACAGTGGCAAAGTCGTGGGCAGACATAGTCAAGCTCAGTGCCAAACAGACACAAGCTAAGGCCGTGAAACACGGTCCTCCCAGACAGCCGAGCAGGAGGCGGAGGAGGGCCAACACCCCAAAGGTACGTGTTCCGCCGAGTTGCTTGGATGCACGTAATGTTCCTTCGAGGGGCCTTAAGTGTGGACCTGCACTGACCTTCTGTGCCCTCGGCCTCTTCTCCAGAAGCCTACAGGCTGTGCGTACAACGAGTTCAGCACAGGCCATGCCAACTCTCCCTGCACCATTGTAATAGGGAAAGCGCACCTGGAGAGGGTGACCGCGCCCGCTCGGCCCTACAGAATGCTGAACAGCTCCATGTTGAACAGGAAAATCGACTTCAGCGAAGACCTTTCAGGTGAAAACACAGCCTGGGCTCCTGAGAACCACAGTCCTTAGATCCATGGGGATGGGGCAGGGCGTCTATCTGCTGGGGGGGGGGGACTGGAGGCCAGACAGTGCGGTCACCTTCCTGGGGTCATCATGGCCCTGGAAGGGAGAGCTTCGCTGGGGAGTAGAGACAGGCCCCCAGCCCGGTGGGGTCAGACGTCCTGCATAAAGCAGTGTGACAGACGCACACCTTTACCTTGGAGAGCAGCACTGGTGTGCGAAACCGGAAGCTACTCTGTGGGAGGAAGGCAGACTCGCTATAATTGCCCTAGAGTTAGAGCAGCTGGTTTGAGCCATATTTTGCTTCAAGACTTCCTTTTCCTCCATGTCGCTTAGCTTTTTCCTGAATCAGCGGTGTGTGAAGAGGTCCCTCTCGGCATTGCCGACGCTCATGCTTAAATGGAATCAGCAAGCCAGTGTTCCCATGCCCGTTAGAAGAATGTGGGCGGCCGTGGCAGACTCGGGCCATGGCCAGACCAGGGTCAGGGTTTCAGGCCTCCGAGACGGACCAGTGGTTCCCACCTTGGACACTTGTGGAGGGGCATAAGGCTTGAGCCTGCTTGGTGGAATCTTGGATTCATTTCGGGGCAAATGTTAACACAGGAGAGGTGTTTGCTCCGCACGTGCTATCTAGTGTGCCCTCCGATTAGAGTCCCACTAGAGTCCCACTCCGATTAGAGTGCACTTGGCTTTTAGGAAAAAACACCCAAAGTGTAGAGGGGTGGGAACCGCAGTGACAGCACCAAGCTCCATGAGTAAACACTGCTGAGCCTCCGCCACCCACGCGCAGGCGTGTGTGCCTGTGCAGCCCTGTGAACCAGGTGCACATGCGTGTCTGGTGTGTCTTACGAAGCAGTGACAACACACTTTACAAACACTCTTGAGAAAAAGTCAATGAATTTATGTACTTGGTGCTCAGGACAGTGGGTTTGCACAACCTTCCTCGGAGACGGGCTCCTAGAGAGTCACCGGTACGCGCCCCCTGGTGTAACTTCCGTGTCAAAGCACCAGCGGTCGCGTGCAGCAGCCCGAGTCCTGGGTGTTCTAAGGAGGCCTGATGGGGGCAGGCAGATTCCTGCGGGAGCTGGCTGTCGGCTGGGCTGGGGCCTTCTGCACAGCGGCTCCAACATAGTGGGCGGGCGGGCGGGCGGGCGGGCAGGCGGGTGGGCGCTGGGCAGTGTTTTGACCCATCAATGGCAAAATGAGAAAAGGAGAACATGAGATAATGAGTTTTTTAGAAAGTTAAATCTTCCATTTGAAGGGCTGTATGTTGTCCCCCCCATCCCCCGATTATATTAATCCTACTATTTGGTGTTAAAATGAGAAAAATACTGATATTATGACCTGGCAGTATGAAGCATGGGCATCCTATGTCATTTTTAAAGTTTGGGGACATTTCATTTGTACATAAAGTTCAGAGCTGTGTACCTGGACACTTTGAAGGCAGTACAAGGCCACCAGGTCTCTGGACGCCTGCCCAGAGGGCGGGCACCGGGGCTGCCCATGTCCTCCCCCCAGAGCTCCCTCTGGGTAGGACACTGGGAGGCCGAGACAGCCGCCTCTGTTCATTTCCAAGGGAAAAGGCAAAGCAGAGGACGTGTAAGTTCTAACATCCTGTTCATGACCCTCCTTTCACAGAGTGGGTTTATCATTAATTCGCCACCCTCCCCTCTGAGACGGCTCCCCCAGGAGTCCTGGGGAGAGAATCTCAGGCTGTCTGTGGGGACCGAAGTGGCTGTTTGTGTAGAGGAGCCATATGTTAACTGCTTTTCCACTGTTTTCATGTGCCAGGACTCACAGAAATGTTCAAGACCCCAGCGAAAGAGAAGCCCAAGAAGATGAGCTTACGTCTCACCGCTTTTTCAAACTCAGAGGGTTTGTTTAGAAAACAGTTTCAAGTACCTGAGTCTGAAGAAAAACCTCTGCTCTGCACCCCTGCGAAGTTTGGTTGGTTTACATTGTTTTCTGGTGTGTCGGTGTCTGTACCGGAACTGTGGGCAGTGGTGGTGGTGGTGGTGGTGGTTGTAGTGTTTTAATGACGGGGTCTTCTTTCTCTACAGCAGACACTCTGATACAGTGTCACTTCCAGCTCCTCTATTGTGTTGTTTTCGGGGGAAAGTCCTATCAGCAGTTGAACTAACATTGTTATTTAGTGACTTGAGTAAAAAGGAATATTCCTTTAATAATCAAACTATCTGTGTACACTTTTTAAAAAAATTGATTTCAGAGAGAGAAGGGAAGGGAAAGAGAGAGAAACATCAATTTGTTGTTCTACTTATTGATGCACTTATTGGTTGCTTCTTGTATGTACCCTGACCGGGCTTTGAACCAGTCCCCACATGCAACCTTGGCATGTGGGGACTATGCTCTAACCAACTGAGCTACCTGGCCAGGGCTGTGTGTGCTTTTGCCTTTTTATTTATTATGAAGAAGTAATAAGCCAAGAAGTGTAATGATCTCTCATCATACTTCTAAGTAAATTATTCAAACTCAAAATGACTGCAGATTACCAAAGAGAAAGGTAACAGAGTGGACACAGGGCCACGCTCCCTGTTACTCTGCGGGGTGCGGGGGTGTGCTACAGGGGGAGTGTGAGGTGAGAGAACCGAGTCCTTCCTGCTCTCCAATTTGGTACCAAGTTTGTATTGTATTGTGAACACCTGGCTACCCTGAAGATGCTTCCTACAGCTAAAAGGTAGGCATTCCCAGTGTGACAGGGACACGGTAGTCTACGTGTGAGCCATGTGATTGCGTCGGTGATGCAAAAGAAGGAAAATAGCTTTTTTCCACATTTGAAGACAACGAGTGGCTGTGTGCAGGTCACTGAGACGCGGCAGGGTAGCTAGCCTTCAGGGGACCCTTGTTTAGGAACTTCGTTCACCGTCTAAGTCCTGTGGACTCGAGCCACCTATACACGACCCCACTCTCTAACACCAAGTGACATCATCCTTCAGTGTTCACAGTTCACAGGTCAGACAGATATACAGTGCAACTGCAGACTCGAGTTATTGGTGAGGTGAGGGGTAGGGAGAGTTATTGCCTGTTATATAATATTTCATGAGGACAAAATACCAAGTTGGCACAACACAGTGAAGAGAATATTCTTACTGTGTACGCTTTTACTTTTTACAGGAGAGAATGTGTTCCCCAGTGCTCAGAGTGCACCGGAAGAGCCATCAGATAAAAAGTCTGCAAGCCCAGCCCTGAGAAAAGAGTATATGACAGGAAATAAAAACATGTTGACTCCACCATCTGAGACAGAGCCTTCAAGGACAGCATCCAGGGTGAAGAAGTCCAGGAGGTCTGTGGGGCTCAGAAATACCCAGGGGTCAGGTACAGGGTGTGAAAAAGAAGACCCAGAGTTTGACACTGTTGAGAGCATCTTGGGAAGATGTCTGAGAAAATCGCCAGCACAGGAGCAACTACTGGAGGGAGAGATGAAGGAGAGCGAAAGAGCCTTTGCGACATGTAAGAGAAACTTTGAATCAAAAGAAAATTCTGAAAAGAGGATACTGAGGAGATCAAGAAGATCTTCAGACCTGAAATGTGCACAAAGAACAGATGTAATCGCCACAAAGACATTGCAAGAGTCAGAATCCAAGGAAGGCCTGGTGGGCATCCCCTGTTTTCTCCAAACCCCAGGTTATGCCGAGGCACCAGTGGGTATGGAGAACAAAGCCACAATGAGGTGCTGCAGATCTCCAAAACCAGAACCAGTCAGCACACTGAGCGAGATGAATGTAGAGATCAAGACACCTTCCCAGAGTGTGAGTGCAGAAGCTCTCTCCGTACGCAGGAAGCCCACACAAACCCCAGGGGATACCAAGCACACACACAAAGAACCAGTAGGTGGTGACGAAAGCATGAAGGCATCAAAGACATTTCCGGAACAGCAACAGGACTCAGCAGATCATGTAATTGGAAGTAGGAGTAGGCCAAGAACACCCAAGAAAAAGGCCCAACCCATAGAAGACCTGGCTGGCTTTAAAGAGCTCTTCCAAACTCCTAAACACACTGTGGAAACAGTGACTGATGACAAAACCATGAAGATACCTAGTAAATCTCCAAAAGCAGAGCCAGTCAGCAGACCATCCAGCACAAAGAGACATCTCCGGACACCTCTGGGGAAAGTGGATGTGGAGGAAGAGCTCTCGGCCCTTGAGGAGTCTACACCAACACCAGGGGAAACCACACACTCTCCTGGAGAACCAGTAGGTGATGATGAAGATATCAGGGCATTGAAAGGAACTCCAGAACAGAAACAGCACTCAGCCCAACATGTAAGTGGAAGCAGAAGGAGGTCAAGAACACCCAAGAGGAAGGCTGAACACATAGAAGACCTGATGGGCTTAAAAGACCTCTTCCAAACACCCAATCATATAGTAGAACCAGTGACTGAGGACAAAACCAAGAAAACATCCAGCAAAGCTCCAAAATTAGAACCAGTCAGCACACCGAGCAAGATAAATGTATGGATCAAGACACCTTCCCAGAGTGTGAGTACAGAAGTTATCTCTGTACTCAGGAAGTCCACACAAACTCCAGGGGATACCAAGCACACACACAAAGAACAAATAGATGGTCTTGAAAGCATGAAATCATCAAACAAATTTCCAGAACAGCAGCAGGACTTAGCAGAGCATGTAACCAGAAGCCGAAGGAGGTCAAGAACACCCAAGAAAAAGGCCCAACCCATAGAAGACCTGGCTGGCTTCAAAGAGCTCTTCCAAACCCCAAATCACACAGATGAACCGATGACTGATGACAAAACCATGAAAATACCCAGCAAATCTCCCAGACCAGAACCAGTCAGCAGACCAACCAGCACAAAGAGACATCTCAGGACACCGCTGGAGAGAGAGAACTTAGAAGAGTTCTCAGGCCTTCGGAAGCCCACACAAACCTCAGGGAAAATTACATGCTCACCCAGAGACCCAGAAGGTGATGCTGAAGATATCAGGGCATTGAAGGGAACTCCAGAACAGAAACAGGACTCAGCCCAACATGTAAGTGGAAGCAGAAGGAGGTCAAGAACACCCATGAGGACGGCTGAACCCACAGAAGACCTGACTGGCTTGAAAGAGCTCTTCCAAACACCGAATCATGTTGTGGAAACAGTGACTAATGACAAAACTACCAAGGTACCCAGCAAATCTCCAAAACCAGAACCAGTCAGCACACTGACCGGCACAAAGAGACGTCTCAGGACACCTCTGGGGAAAATGGATGTGGACGAAGAGCTCTCCACCCTTGGAGAGTTTACACCAACTCCAGGGGAAACCACACACTCTTCTGGAGAACCAGTAGGTGATGATGAAGATATCAGGGCATTGAAGGGAACTCCAGACCAGAAACAGGGCTCAGCTGAACATGTAACTGGAAGCAGAAGGAGGTCAAGAACACCCAAGAGGAAGGTTGAACCCACAGAAGACCTGACCGGCTTCAAAGAGCTCTTCCAAACACCCAATAATACAGTAGAACCCATGACTGAGGACAAAATCATAAAAACACCCAGCAAATCTCCCAAACCAGAACCAGTCAGCACAAAGAGATGTCTCAGGACAACTCTGGGGAAAGTAGAATTAGAAGAAGAGTTTTCAGGCCCTAGGACTCTCACTCAAACATCAGGAGAAACCGTACACTCTCCTGAACCAGAAGATGATGATGAAGATATCAGGGCATTGAAGGGAACTCCAGAACAGAAATGGCACTCAGCTGAACATGTAAGTGGAAGCAGAAGGAGGTCAAGAACAACCACAAGGAAGGTTGAACCCACAGAAGACCTGATTGGCTTCAAAGAGCTCTTCCAAACACCCAATCGTGTCATGGAAACAGTGACTAATGACAAAACTACCAAGGTACCCAGCAGATCTCTCAAACCAGAACCAGTCAGCACACCAACCAGCACAAAGAGACGTCTCAGGACACCTCTGGGGAAAACGGATCTGGAGGAAGAGCTCCCGGCCCTCAGGGAGTTTATACCAACACCAGGGGAAACCACGCATTCTCCTGGTGAACCAGTAGTTGATGATGAAGATATCAGGGCATTGAAGGGGACTCCAGAACAGAAACAGGGCTCAGCCGAACATGTAAGTGGAAGCAGAAGGAGGTCAAGAACAGCCAAGAAGAAAGTCCAACCCACAGAAGACCTGGCTGGCTTCAAACAGCTCTTCCAAACTCCAAATCACACAGATGAACCAATGACTGAGGACAAAACCATGAAAATACCCAGCAAATCTCCCAAACGAGAATCAGTCAGCACACCAACTAGCACAAAGAGACATCTCAGGACACCTCTGGGGAAAGTGGATTTAGATGAAGAGTTTTCAGGCTCTAGGAAGCCCACACAAGCATCAGGGGAAACAACACATTCTCCTGGAGACTCAGAAGGTGACGATGAAGATATCAGGGCATTGAAAGGAACTCCAGAACAGAAACAGCACTCAGCCCAACATGTAAGTGGAAGCAGAAGGAGGTCAAGAACAGCCAAGAGGAAGGTTGAACCCACAGAAGACCTGACTGGCTTGAAAGAGCTCTTCCAAACACCGAATCATGTTGTGGAAACAGTGACTAATGACAAAACTACCAAGGTACCCAGCAAATCTCCAAAACCAGAACCAGTCAGCACACTGACCAGCACAAAGAGACGTCTCAGGACACCTCTGGGAAAAACAGACGTGGAGGGAGAGCTCTTGACCCTAAGGGAATCTACACCAACACCAGGGGAAACCATATACTCTCTTGGAGAACCAGAAGATGATGCTGAAGATACCAGGGCATTGAAGGGGACTCCAGAACAGAAATTGGACTCAGCTGAACATGTAACTAGAAGAGGAAGGAGGTCAACACCCAAGAGGAAGGTTGAACCCACAGAAGACCTGACGGGCTTCAAAGAGCTCTTCCAAACACCCAGTCATATAGTAGAACCGGTGACTGAAAACAAAATCATGAAAATACCCAGCAAATCTCCCAAACCAGAACCAGTAAGCACACTGACCAACACAAAGAGACGTCTCAGGACACCTCTGGGGAAAATGGATGTGGACGAAGAGCTCTCGACCCTTGGAGAGTCTACCCCAATACCAGGGGAAACCATACACTCTCCTGGAGAACCAGAAGGTGATGATGAAGCTATCAGGGCACTGAAGGGGACTCCAGAACAGAAACAGGACTCAGCCCAACATGTAAGTGGAAGCGGAAGGAGGTCAAAAACAGCCAAAAGAGTGAATCAACCCATAGAAGACCTGGTAGGCTTCAAAGAGCTTTTCCAAACACCAAGACACACAGTAGAATCAATGATTGAGGACAAAGCCACCAACATGCCCTGCAAATCTGCACAAGCAAAACCAGCTGTCATGCCAACTGGCAGAAACAGGCGGCTCAAGGCACCACCAGGGAAAGTAGTCATGAAGGATGAACTCTCAGTCCTCCAGAGTTCCACACGGATATCAAGGAAAATCACACGATCTCACAGAGAACCAGAGGGTGGAGATAATGATATGAAATTGTTTAAGGAATCTCCAGAACAGAAACTGCTCCCTGCAGAAAATGTAACTGCAAGCAAGAGGAGACTGAGAACACGTAAGGAAAAGGCCCAGGTTCTAGCAGACCCAGGCAGCCTTAAAGAGCTCTTGCAAGTACCAAATCACACAGAGGACCCAGTGGCTGTTGCCACCAGCACTGAAATGCCCTCTGGATCCTCACAGGCAGAAGCGGTCATCATGCCAGCAAGGACGAGGAGACAGCTCAAGGCACCTCCAGAAATGGTGGCAGTGCAGGAAGAGTCCTTAGCCCTCAGGAGGCCCAGAGGGACATCAGGGAAAACCACAAGATCACACAGAGAACCAGAGGGAGCAGATAAGGATACGAAATTGTTTAAGGAATCTCCAGAACAGAAACTGCTCCCTGCAGAAAATGTAACTGCAAGCAAGAGGAGACCGAGGACATGTAAGGAAAAGGCCCAGGTTCTAGCAGACCCGGGCAGCCTTAAAGAGCTCTTGCAAGTACCAAATCACACAGAGGACCCAGTGGCTGTTGCCACCAGCACTGAAATGCCCTCTGGATCCCCACAGGCAGAAGCGGTCATCATGCCAGCAAGGACGAGGAGACAGCTCAAGGTACCTCCAGGGACAGTGGCAGTGCAGGGGAGAGCCACGAGGTTGCACAGAGAGCATGTAGACGGTGCCAAAGACATTGAAGTGTGCAAGGGACCTCCAAGGCCGGAGCTAGGCCCTGTGGGAAACGCTGTGGGCAGCGGACGCCTGCTAAGATCAAGGAAGGGAAAGGCCCAGCCCCCGCACAGCCCAGCCAACAGCAAACAGCTCCTCCAAAGCCCAGCTCAAAACAAGGAACTGGGCACAGACACTGCGAGCGTTACGAGACCTTCAACTCAAACACCAGACCAAAGTAAACCTGTAACAACGTCCAGAAGAGCCCTAAGGGCCCTGAACATGAAGCCCATAGAAGAGCTGGTAGACAGCAGGGACCCTGTAAAATCACAAAGTGAGACCAACGCCACCCAGTCCCCTAAGAGGAAGCGTGAAGATGGGAGCTGTGCAGGCCTGGGGAGGCTGCGCCCCAGGACTCGCACCCAGGACACTGCAGAGGGGCAGCCACCACGGAAGAGGCAGCGGACAACTCCCAGAGAGCAGTGCACGCCCCTGGAGCCCTCTGAGCCAAAGAAGGGGCGGAGAGTTTTGAGAGACGGCATTGAACCTGTGGATGACCTGCCCAGCGCCAACAGGAAAACAAAAAATAAGGGCCGAAAAGAAGACGCGACCTCCCCAAACAAGGTGATGGTGGCTGTTAACATGGTCATTGTCTGTCTTTTTGGACAGGCGTCCCCCACTTCTGTTTGCTGTTTGGTGTAGGTTGTATGGAACCCACATGTGTTTGTGGGTGTCCCTTCCCGAAGGGGTCCGCCTTCCATGGCAAGTCGCCGCAGACACCAGTGAAGAGTCCCAGGGGGATTCAAGGAGACACTGGGCTAATGGTCACTGCAGATTTTTTCCTCCCCAAATCTTACAGGCCACCCACTTTGCCTGCTGGCGGGGGCAGTGGGGTCCTGGGAAGGTGACCATCAGCTGCCGAGGCTGTTCCGTAGCGCGGCTGGTTCCCACCATGTGGCGAGAGGCTGGCAGACCCCAGAAACAGAATCTCGTGCCCTGCGCTAGCACTTGTTGCTTCACTATCTGAACTGGGTTGTGTTTCTGCGGTGCTCCAGAGCTTCTCAGGACCACAGCTAACACGTACGACTCTGGGACTGAGAGGCACACCCAAGTCCTTGCTCACCGCTGCTCAGCAGAGGCGGTGATCTCTCCTGGGAACCCAGCGACTATCTCAGGTTACAGGTGTCTGAGAGAGTTAACCCCTGTAAAAGGTTTTAGTGAGTTTTCCTTCGAGTTCACATTTGATTTTTTTCTCCACGTTGGGTTTTCAGATTTGCATTTCTCATTAATGGTACTTGGCGGATGTCTTTTGTGTTTTTTAGGGAGTGTCCCTGTGCTCTAGTCTCCCAAATAAAACCAAGGCAGCAGGGCAAAGGCATGAGCTTATATCACCAGGAAAGGTTCAAAGAAAGCGGAATGAAAAGAAGCCTGTGAAATCCTCCCCAGAGGTGGAGATTCAAAACCTGGAAGGTGGAGCCCAGAATTCTGCTCCTGGGGTCAAAGTGCATGAGAGGAGAACACCCCCGAGACCTGGAAGACGGGGTAAGGTGCCTGCGCCCTGTGGAGCCGAGGAGAAAGCACTGGCGAGCAGCGTGGAGACCCACAGGAAGGCTCGGGGGGAGAAAGGAGGAGCCCCACGTTCAGGTTTCATATGCTTGCGATCCAGAAAGGTGACAGTCCCTCCTACAGGGGACACTTCAGAGAGTCAGTCCGAACAGAGAGTGATGCGGAGTGCCAAGCGACCTGTGGAAGATGCAGGCAAGGCAAGTGGCTTACTGTTTGCTTTCCATAGTAAGCAGGGAATGTTTCCAGGTGCTTTTGCTCCGTGTTGCAGAAGCAGACGAAACACACTGCACACGGTACCAGGCTCCCAGTTAGGCAGCGGAGTGTCTGCACACGCGTTTGTGTTTGTAGCTGCACCTGGTGACATGTGTCCGGGGTTCCCACTGCAGCAGCAAACTCGTTATGGAGGCGCCGGTCAGGAACCACTGGGACGTTAGGCAGCGGCGCTTCTAGCTGCTCATTCCGGTCCCACCCGGTGCTCACGTCCCAGGCAGAGGCCTGCGGCCTCCTGCCAGTTCGGCTGAGGTGACTGAGGCTGTGGGTGGGCCGCTCGGGTCTTCCAGGGGTCCCTTCAGAAAGCCAGGGTGAAGCCCAGTGGGCTGTGCCGCGGAGGTGCCTCTGCTCTTCGAGTCCCAGGTCAGTCGGAAGTGCTGCGTCCTGTCACCCTCCCGAGTCAGATGCCATCTAAGTTAAAGGACAGTCAGTGCTGCTAAGGTCATGTCACATTCAGCAGCTCATGGGCTACCTGTCATTTGAGTGAGTCCACAGGGCCCGGTGCAGTTCCGTCAGTGTTCCTCTCGGGAGCACTCGGCTGGGTGTTTTAAAGAAAAGAGTCACAGAGGGTCCCTGTCTGTGTGTGGGACACGCTTGCTTCCCAGGGCGCAGGTAGAGATACTGTGACCCCCGTGGTGAGCAGACCGCAGGACACAGCCCTGTGGTGGGCTGCCAGCCACTGAGGCCCTGCTGAGGCCCACCCACGTCCAGGGTGGCTTTGAAGTCCTGCCCCGCTAGAGTCATAGGGACTGGGGCAGAGCCACGGGCCAGCGAAGACGGGCGTGTGTCCACCCGCTGCCCGCCCTTCCCCGCCCTTCCCTGCCGTCTCTAACATGGCCCCCACTTCACAGTCGGGGGCAGCACACGGCTCCATCTGGCCTGAGAGCTCACTCAGGTGCCGGGCATTTGGGCCCCTGCAGTTGGGGCTCAGGCGTTCCCTGTCACTCGCACCCCCCTAGGGTTTTTCATTGTTGCCTTGTGTTTTTCTGACCCTGCCCCACCCCCGCCTTAAGGATCACTTGCTGGAGTTCTTGGTGGGAAGTGCTCTCCCACCTCACGATGCGCTCTTCCCGACCACAGGCGTGGGGTTGGGGCTGTGAGGTGGGGGCTCGGACGCCTGGCCGCTCGCCTGGAAGCGGGGCAGGGACACCCGGGCGCCACTCTGAAAAGGCGTCATCTTCGTGTTAGATATTAGGGTGGACCTCCCTCTCCTAACCGTTCACACGGCAGGTGGCCGGGGTCACACCCCCACAGTGCTGAGCTGAGTGACCGTCCCCTTCACACACAGTGGTGGTGGGTCCTGTACCCAAAAGGTGTCATCCTGGCGCACATTTGATTTTACTTTCCTGAGCGGTATTTTTTAACTAGTAAAGCTCTGTGTATTTGTGTGGAAATTCTTTTAGTTATGTATTAACTTAAAAACAGGTCACAAATGTTTTACTAAAGGACCACACATATTTAAGTTTATAAAGCCAAATAATCAAAACAGTTTAAGGACCAACCGTAATGTTCTCAGGCAGCCTCCCCCGTGGCTGGGGGGGGGGGGAGGATCAGAGTTGGCTGCAAAGATCGTCGTTGTAAATGACTTGAGTTGTATTTTTATTCCCAAACAGGAGAATGACAACAAGTGTGTCAAGAAAATGAGAACCAGGAGTCGTCGGGGACAGTGAAGACATTCAGCTGAGATGTGTAAGGGGGAGAAGCAGTACATTTATTTTCGTGACAAGTCCTCATACAGTGTTTGCTGTACATTTAAAAGTGAATTCTGTAAATAATGTTTTTCAGGTGTTTAAGGGAAGAAAGCTTTTAAAAATTTCTGGCTCTGCAAGGTCTGTTCGGGCCCGTGGAGGGTATGAAGGAGCTGCTCACTGCGCTGAAATGACAAAAACTGAAGACGGCGGGCCCTGGAGTGGATTCTGCAGTCCGCTGCCTGCCTGGGCTCTAGCACTTGCATTGTAAATGCTTCTGTGTTTGCCTGTGTCCCCATCAGAACCCGGAAGGTGGGGCCCTGCCCTCAGGTCCCCACACTGGGAGCGGGTCAAGGATAGGCTCTCGGTGACTCGAGATGATGCGCCTGCCATGGCGGACATGCGTGGCCCTTGCTCCGGGGCTGTTGGGTATCTGCCCAGGACAGTCTCATTGTCGGGGACTTCCGTCTAAGGGACTACAAGTGACTTGGACGATGGCTTGTGACCCCCTCTTCGGGGTACAGGGGTCACTACAGTGGAGGGCTTGCCTTGTTCACTTGATGAGTATTCGCCTAAACTCGGAGTGCTGTCCTCTGAGAAGGGCCCCACCCACCTGCCAGGGCGCTGCTGGCTTCCAAGCTGCAGCTACACCCCTCTTGGCTTCCCTGCTTTGGCGTCATTCACCTTTTCCGAGCATCTCCTGGCCCCGGCCCACCTGTGCTTTTCCAACTGCACCTGTCTACTCGGTGCCCCGTACCTGCCATGTGCAGGAAGTGACACAGCCACCCGAACACAGGGCCTTTCTCAGCGTGGGGCACGAGGTCCCGCCCCCGCCAGCCCGCACCTCTTAGCCCCATTTTAAGCCCACACTTCTTTCTTGTCTCAGGCCTGATGCACATCTAACTGTTGGGTGTCTCCCTTTTTATGTTCCACTGTGTCCTGTCCCTCTGTGTCCCCTCAGTCAGAAAACAGCACACCTTCCTTCCATCCAGTCACCCGTCCGGACCCTCCCCATTCACCTGCCTTGCCCGGCTACGGTGAACATGAAGACTGAGAAGGCGGCTGTCCCTTGTCTGTCCTCGTCCCGTGTCTGTTGCACTGGGCCAGGCTCACACGAAAATAAAACATTTGTGAAGGAGTTGGGTGCGTCTGTCTTAATCAGTGTTCGCTCCCGGAGCCTGGGTCGCACGGGGCAGCTCCGCCTGCGTAAGACCCTAAGGGAGTGACAGGCTGAGGGAAGGGCAGGGCAGGGGGGAACGTCAGGGTCAGTGACAGTCGAGCTGGGTGGAGAAGCAGAGTGGCCTCATCAGAAAGGTACTTGACTTGAAGGTGAGTCACAGCTCTGTCATTCAGGTGGGTCAAGTTCAGAAAAAGGAAAAAAAGGCCTCCTGAGATTGAGCTGTGCAGACTTGGGTGCAATATCGAAGCCACGCACAGAAAAGTTGCCCTTCACTGCGTGCCCACAGACCTGAAAGTGCTCGTTAACAAAACCTTCAGGTTCAAGGCGAGCCGAAAGTCCCCCAGAGTGAGCGCACCTTTCCACCCTCGCTGGCACGGTGTTTCCAGAGCGAGTTGGGTTTCTGAGTCTGGGTTAGACCCCTTTGAGGGCCACGGGGCATTGGAAAAGGGCCCCACGGGACGGGTGCAGCCTTCACTTGGGCCACTTTGGAGAGAACGGGCAGCAGAAATGAGCACCTGTCGCTGCAGGGCTGGCTGATGTCCCGGAGCCTCTGTCCGGGTGACATCCCTCTGGGCAGTTCTCAGGACACGGAACTCCTTTTGCTGCTTTGCGTTCAGATTTCCCATGATCTGCCTGGCAGCCTCCACTCGACGGGCCAGCCCACTCCTGCCTCCCTGCCTTCAGCAAGACCCGCCCCCAACACGCACTCACACATATGCACATACACATGCCTGCTTACACCCATGCGTGTACACCACGCAGACCTCCTGAGGCTGCCGCTCTCTCCTGTCGGTCTAGTGGGCTAGTCCCTCTCCCCTGCCCACCACCTCAGGGTATGTACCTCCAGTTCCCCAGCTGGACTGAGCCCACCTAGAGCAGAGGGGACCACTTACATCAGGGAAAGGTAGACACGAAGAAAACTAACTAGGGCTCACAGGAGCAAATGGCATTTCACTGTGGGCACTTTTTTGGAGAGGGGAGTGAAAGGTTTTCAATCATTTTAGCAAACATAACAAAGCTCACAAAACTATTTAAATGAGTATAGCAAATAATAAAAGCATATGTTTCCATCCCTCGGTGGGTCTGGGATCCCCAAAAGGAAGCTGGTGTGGGGTCAGTTGGGAGGCGAGTGCGGGGGACACCGTGGAGCGAGCTAGGGGGGCCAGAACTGTAGGCTGAAGGGCTGTCAGGTTTTGGGGGGGGGGGGATAGAAATGTGCAAGGGCCTTCTGACTGTCCCTGGCTGCACACTAACACGTGGTCGCCGTCCTTGCAGATCTGAGACACCCCTGCTCCAAGCTCAGGTTCCTGCCTGAGGCGGGTTAGGGCTCCGAACACTCGGGCCTGAAGCTGAGCCCTGGGCCCTGTGCCCACCCACACTGAGGGACTGTTCCTACGCCCTCTCTGAACCCAACTAGAGAAGTCCTAAAATTAATAGTCTCTATAAATCAGCGTTTACCTCCTAATGAGCGTCTTGTCTAAAAGGACTTAAGGCACAGGCATGAAATGAGATTTCCTCCAAGAAAGAGACGCAGGCTGGAAGTGAAAGTGAAGATTTATCCTTGCATCTGAATGGTAGACCTCGCCATTTGCATATACAAAGAATTCAGCAACATTCACTGGCATTACAATCAGAGCAAGATCAAGTTATAAATGTAGTAAAAGAAAGCGTGACAGGTGAAATTGAGAACATACAGAGGTTGCACATAAATTAAACACGACTCTGGTAGACAAAAGTATCAGTAATCAGACATTTAAACAGAACACATGGGGTGTCTCCAAATGCTGAAATGGAGGTCGGGCTCACTTTGAAAAGTTTTTAAAAACACGAAGATGCCTCTTCAAACACTGGTGCGCACTCTTCATCAGCACGTGGAGAGTAAACGGAGTCACATGGTGACCGAAAAAGCACGCAGATCAGAACGGCAGTCTTCCGATCGCTATTTGGCCTTGGAGTACAACTGCATGCAACGTGGACAGATGCGAGGGGACTGAGGTCAGGGAGGCGCTGTCTTATGTGCAGTGGACTTTGACAGGAAGGGACAAGAGCTCTGAGTCCGGGCTGCACGGGGGCCTTGGGTGAGTGTTGGCAGGGGCCACGAGGCTGCAGGTTCAGGGCTTCCCTGAAAGGGAGGGGGCTGTCCCCGCCGGGGCATGGAGCCCGTGTCTAAGGGACGGTGGCCTCTGCTTTAACTGCGACTGGAAGGGCCAAACGGGGCACCAGGACACTGCAGTGGACACAGGGGACGGCTCAAGGGGGCAGAGACTGCATCAGTGGGGTACTTCCTCGAGGGTGCACCGAGAAGGTCTTGGTCTCCACCCCAGGGAGGCCATGGAGACCAGGACAGGGTGTGGGAGATTCTGATGAAGGCTGGTATATCTGGACCCAAATCTGTGCCCTTCAACTTTGACCAGGACCCCTCAAATAAATGACTAGTGGCCTTCACCACAACCAGCCGGTTCTGTTTCTAGGTGCTGAACAGAAAGTTCCGCTGTCTCCCTTCCCCTTTAGTCAAAGAAAGCCTCCAAGTTCAGGATTTTAACAACGAAAGCAAATGGGTCAATGAGCTTGTCTCACAAAGCTCCCTCATTTTCCTCTCAGACCCAGGTGCGGACGCACCACACCGGGGAGGAAGGATCACGCTCAGCCAGCTGGGAGTGCCCGACCCAGGGCTTCAGCCCAGTGTTGTGCTTTTGTCTTTCCACCTGTGCGTCTGCTCGGGCCCTTGGCCGGGGGGAGGAGAGGGGGGGAGGCAGAAGCCAGATTGCCTGGGCGCCTGACCCTAGAACCCCAGCCTAGCCTGGGGCGCACGCCGCTCACAGCAATGAGCAGAAAGAAACAGTGCAATCCGTTTTCAGGGGAAATGTCAAATAAGTCCTTTGTATGTCTTTTCAAAAGCAAATAATGCACCAAAAATGCACACATGAAATGCTTTCGGCAGCTTGGACCAGGTGTCTTCTTTTTACATTGTGCTCGCCTGCCAGGTGGGAACAGCCAGAGAAAGGTCACTGCTACTAACCGAAGCGTTTCTGCATCCGCCCCTCCCCCCGCCCATTTTCCACCCGGCAAGCCGATTCTGCACGGCAGTCCGATCTATCCAGTGTGCAAGGTCTCAGCAGTGTTTCCATCCAAAAATAAGTTTGCCTTTAGATGAAGGAATTTTCTTTAATTAAATATTGAGGAGCGGGACTTTTAAAAAACCGTATAAATCTAGACTCAAAGATTTCTTTTCGTACAAACAGTCTTAGCTTTTACAAGAGGTTTTAAAGAACCAGAACACCTCTGGGAAAGTTGCTGGCGTCGTTGCCTGTGGTCCTGTGTTCTACCAAGCGTGTGCCCCTTGCCTCTGTGGGTGTCAGACTCTGGGCTTTATTCGAACATTTGGGACGGGAATGGATTGAGGTCGAGCGCTGCGACACCTCCCAAACGGCGTGGGGCAGCTGTGGCCAATGAGAGGGGAGGGAGAAATGCAGTTGGTTTGACTCTCCATAGGTTTCACCTGAGTCACGCGTACAGCCAGACAGCAGATGGCGCTGTGGGCGGGCCGCTCCGCGACTGCTTCAGCTGCCCCCAAAGCGGTGGGTGGACAGGACCCCTGGTGTCTCCTGTCACCTAGCCACGGTGGCAGGGGCACGGCCGCGGATAAATGCATATTTAAGTCTCACTTTGTCGCCACCAACTGCTCTGATGTGTTTTAGACCTGGACTCAGGTTGCAGTCTTCTTTGATTTTTCAAGTGGAAAGGCAAACCTCTATCTTCCGAAACTGTTTGCCTTTAAAACAAATACTGCTGCCCAGGGCTGTGGAAACCGGTGTTAAGAAAGTGAATTTCCAGCTGATTTCCGAGTTCCCAGCTGCTTTCTAATGGATGTCACGTTTAGTAGTCTACATAAGCACACTTGGCATAGTAAGATCTATAACACTTAGAGATCCTGAGTGTGAGAAATTAAATGATATGGGTCTAATGAGAAATTAAATAATTTACTGACATTAGCAGAAATATATATTTTATGGGATATTATTTGACCTTAATACATTATTCCAGTTTTTAAAGGGGGGTATTTAAGATGAAATGCCTTTATAAGCAGGTGGTCTTAAAGCATAATAACAAAATATATACAAAGAAATTAGAAAGGATATTAATGTCAACTATGAAATAAATTAACACGATTTGTACAAAATATACTGACCATTAAATTAAAAAATATTTTAAGGCAGAAGTTTTCATTTAAAATTAGCATAATCAGAAAATATATCAATAAAATCTTGTACCACTTTGTAGCAGAATTCATACTGTTCCTGAAAAAGAAGAACAAGAGTACATTAAAATAATATTTTTAAATGATCTGAATAATTTAATTAGGGGAAGTATTCGAAAGGAAGTCTGACTGTTTATTAAAATACTGTATACCCTTATGCATGCCAGCCTCCGCTACATAATTTAGTTTGCAGGCACATGAGAATTTCCGAAGGAATCTGTTTTCCCACATAATGTCAGCGGTTAGTTTCAACCTAGCGCATCTTTCCGGAAACATCCTTAGATCCCTGAGGTCCTTACCAAGGTTTGCACCATATGCGGCCTCTGAAGCCGTAAACTCTTCACGGCTTGGAACACGTCTAGCAGTCCCTCCGCCTTCACGCGCTCCAGGATGTTGCTGAGCGCGATGAATGTACCCGTTCGCCCGGCGCCCGCACTGCGGAGAGAAAGTGCTTAACGGCGGTGACGCGCCCGTCCCACCTATCAGCGCTGAGGCTGGTCGGCAAGAGGATGTGAAAGTGGATTTCGAAGGACCGTTTAATATGTAGCTTAGCTTTTCCCCGGGAGGTAGAGTCACAGAGCTCGTAAAGCGCCACCCAGTGACAGCGGACAGAGGTGTGGTGAGCGGGGTCCCGCCTAGTCGCAGGGTGGGAGCTGCTCTAACTACGCCCCATCTTCCTGGGGAATATCGTGGTTCTCAGAGTGGGGACCCCGGAGCAGCATCGCGCGCGGGGCGCTTGTTAGAATTGCAAACCCTCCCTGTTCAGGGCCAAGGAGAGGTAAGGCGGGCTGACTCCAAGGCTCCTGCCCCTGCAGGGGCCTGTCCCCGCATCTGCCCTGCGGACTCTTGTCCTTTGTACCTCTGGTGTCCGACTCGTTCTAAACTCCGTGTGGGTTTTGGGAGGCAGAACGGAACCCGAAGGAACTCATTTCTAGTAGATTCTAGGTGACCTGTACGAAGGTGCCTGCGACGGAAAACGGAGCCGTGTGCGCCACCTGCTGGCCAGGCCGCAAGTCTCAGGTGCAGACTTCGTGGCACCGGCTCCTTTTCCAGCGTCTCTGGGAAAAGGACGCGGAGCGGAGCCTCACCCTGAACCAGAACCGCCTTTCACCGCTGAGGCACCTGCCTTGAAATTCAGGAGTGGGTCTCTCCGAGCTGTGCTTGGGGATTTTTTGACGGTTTAAAAAGCACGAGGAAATGTGTGTTCGAATCATTTCCCAGCTCCTTCCACTAATGCATTCTGCATTTATGATAAGAGGGCATGTATGTAAAGTTAAGTGCGCATGTGTGCAAGAGAAGGTGAAAATACAGTCGGGAAATTCCGTCGCCGGCAGACGTGAACTGGGTGTGGTCTGCGCGGGCCCCAGCAGGGGGCGCTCATTCACAATGCGCCTGGACCGGGTCTCACCTGCAGTGCACGGTGATGGGGTGGTTGCCCGTCTGCTGCTGCTGCTTCTGCACGGCCGCAATGAGGTCGATCATGCCTTTGCCCTCTGCCGGGATCCCGATCTCGGGCCAGCCGTGGAAGTGGAACTGGCGAACCACGCGGGTCTGCTCCTCCTGGCGGGCCAGGGGCTGCGGGAAGAGAGGGCAGCTTAGTGGTGCTGGGTCGCTGCCCCTCTCTGCCTCGTTGGAGAGACTCAAGACAACACTTAGAGCTCTGCGGGGCTTTTGGCGCCACCTGGCCGCCCAAGGGTCCTGGCCAGGCTGTTGGAGACTGTGGTCCCCCGAAAGGAGGGGCTGGCAGGGTTCCTGAGTGGAGAGCAGGACCTCCAGAGGATGTCCCCCTGAACCCCCTTTATGTTATCCCCAGCAGTTGTGCTCGAGAGACCGAGGCCATCTCTTTCTTCAGGGGCTGGGGCCCTGTGCGTGCCGCCAAGGCTGGAGACCAGCAGAGTGCCAGTCTAGCTCCAGTCATTCTGTGACTGGCAGGGAGGGAACCAGCCTTCTGGGGAGCCCGGGCTCTGCTGTGCTGGCTGCCTCGAGCTCAGCCCCACGTCCCATAGACTCCCTTAGGCTCACGGGGCCCCACCCCCGATTTCCATCCTGGGAGCAGAGCCCAGGACCCAGTGGGCCCAGGGTGGCCAGGGGCTCTGAAAAGGCACCTGCCAGAGAGCATTTGGCGAGGCCCCTGTGGCTTCATCTGTCCCCTTTATTCCTCCTGGCCCCAGTCACTGTCATTTCTCCTGAGTGGGGAATGGGATGCCTCTTGGAGCCAGCCACTGTGCCCTCTCCCACACCCTTGTCCCCCAGCAAGGAGGCAGGTGACCTCGGAGGTCTGATTTTTATAGGTGATCTGCCCCTTGTCACCACACTGAGCTCTGATTACCAGCGTGGGGCTCCAGAAAGGGCCGGAGGAGCAGAGATGAGCAGGGCCCGAGGGGAGGCTGCTCCACACTCCAGCCACAGTTCTGGTCGCTGCGGCAGCAATACCTGGCGGCAGGTGACCAGGAAGTCGCGCACGCTGATGGCTTCAGAGAGGGTGTCACTCTTTATTTCAATCGTTATGTCCCCGTGAGTCACCGCGCCCTCTGCTGGCCAATACTGGTAGCACTTGTCCTTGGGGGGTAAGAGAAGGGTTTCAGCCTCCTAATGAACACTTTCCCACCAGCAGTTTAACTGCATGATGCAGAGTGGCTCTGGAGCCGAGTAACACACTCCTTCTGGGCGAGAAGAGGACACGATTCGAGTATGAATGCCTGGGAAGGCAGAGACGTGGGTGTTTGGAACCTTCACACGGGACAGAAGGGAGCTGGCAGAGAGGAGGGATTATTTCATACAGGGAGCTCGAAAACCTGCCTCTCTGAGACCCTGCACCCCTGCACGGGCTGATGCGAATGTCCAGCCCTCCTGGAGCTGGGCAGTAAACAACCCGCCCGGCCCCATAGGATCAGGCAGCAGAAGGTCGTAGAAGCAGAAAGTATCTTTTCACTTAGGGAACAGAAGGACTTAACAGCTAAGACCCCAAAGGAGCTGAGCACTGGTGACACAACAGACTGCCACGTCGGAAGCAACGTCCCTTCCTCAGCAAACACGAGAGACTGAAAGGCAGGCGGCTCGCAGTGAGGTGGGCGGGGCCCCAGGTGCGCACACGCCCCGAGGCCGGGCTGGGCAGCCCCTGACCTGCTCTCTCTCCTGGACCTCGGTGAGCATCACGATGGTGTGGCACTTCCACTCCCAGACCATCCTCCAGAAGTCCTCCACCGTGTGTGCCAGGGGCCCCTGGGTGGCGATGAAATAGTCCTTCTGTCGGTAGCCCTGCAAGTGGGAGCAGAGGTCACAGGCCGGCTCCAGGCTTCCGTGGCCCGGCCCACAGGCACCCACGTGCGGCGCCAGTCAGGATGCTCACTTCCTCTGAAAACTGACCCCTCACCCTTAGTCACCAACACATTTGCAGGTGTTCTGGGTAAGTTAGCATCATCCTTGTGCCAAGAACCCTGGGGGCAGATTTGGAGGAAGTGGCTGAAGTCCCAGTTCCTCCACCAGGCCCAGAGACCTTTGGCACAGTTTCTCATCTGCAAACAGAAGTCCTGAGGCAGATGTGCCTGTGCCTCTCTCCGCCCATCATACTGTTCTGCAGGTGTGTGTCAGAGGCCGAGCGGCCGGGAGAGAGAAACAGAGAGAGGAAGCACTGACACGTAACCGGTGGTAACAGACGTGGAAGAAAAATCACTACATATTAAAGGTGGAATGAAAAAACAGTGAATTACTTGCTGCTGTGTCTGTCTCCTCTACTTCCAAAGTCCATTATTCATTTTTTTTTAAAGCAAGTAATTCTAATGACATAGTTGGGATGTCTGCAGGCACGCCCAGCCTTGCTGACTGTGCGGAGGCCCGCCCCCGCCCCCTCACGCAGCACGGCCAGGGACATGGGACTCACGTCGATGAAGGACGCGTTGATGTAGTCCGTGTGCTCCTGGCCCCGCTTCATGGACAGGATCACGCGATTAAAGTCGTCTGCAAGGCAGCGCATCCTTGAGTTAGCGACACACTGTCCTGCCCTGCACATCTGAACTTGCGGCTGCAAGCCTCTGAGATGTGACACCTATTAATAAACCCCCTTTGCAAGGTCACCTCCTCGGAAGGGTTGACTTTGTGAAACGGGAATTAAAGCAGCACAGGGAGGCTGCGCTCGGTCAGGGAGGCTCTGAAGGTGATCCAGGCCCAGCTGTCACTCGTCATGAGTGGGGACGGTTCCCATCAAAAGCAGAGCATTGTGGGCACTGTGTTTAAGGGGAAAGAGGGAAGTGGCCAGGGGGGCCACCCAGAGTAGCTGACCGGGGGCCTCACGGCCATGACTCCAGAGTCCAATGCAGGGAAATCTCCTCATGAACAGCCCCCATGCCCTTTCTGCACATGGTGTGGCCTCCAAAACAAGTCTGTGTAAGGCCTTGCTGGCGTCCTGGGCTGGGGGTCCTTGGGTGTGGTGTCCACAGTGAGGCACCCCCACTTCTCAAGGTCAGCCCCTCCCTGCATTGCTCCTCTGACCACTGTGGTCCATCCATTGGCCCTCCTTCACCCAAGGGCCGGCCGGCATCGCGGCTCCAGCCCTGCCCAGGCCTGGCCCACCCCGAGGCCTTTTCCTGGAAGGTCTCAGCTGCGAGGGCTGGGCTAGGACAGCTGTTCTCCGTAGAGGGGGTGTCAGCCCTCCGCCCAGGCTTGGGGGACGATCTGATGAAATGCTGAAGCAACTTCCCACTTCCAGGAAGTCCCCTCCCATTGCTGAGCGCGTCACAAGCTGCCCGCCTGACACACGACTGCCAAGGTCACTTGCTGCTTCACTGGGGGTGTTCTGTCATCAGCACTTGACTGAGCCCTTAGCCCCGGGGGCCCAGCCCTTGGCCCTGGTTCATAGTGGTGGGAGGTGAGTGACTTCCCAGGGACTGGAGCGGCGGGGAACTGCCCCGCCCACCCCGCTGGGCGCTGAACCCCGAGGCCCGGGCCGCCTTACACGGGATGATCTGGATGACTCTGGCCTTCTTCATGTTCGCCGGCAGGTTGCCTGTCCTCATGTTCTCCTTCATGATCCGCACATTCGTCAGTTTCTGCAGTCAAAGGAGGACACAGCCACGCGGTCCAAAGGCTGACGCTCCTGGGCACCCGTCTCTTTCCCAGACTTCTCCTGGGTGCACGACCCCGCCCATGCCCGGCCCAGGGTGCTGCCCAGCTCCCAGAGTCTGTGCCCTCCCTCTGCAGCAGGTCTCAGAGGGCTTCTCTGGGGTTCGTCATCAGGGTGGCGTGGAGGGGGGACACTCACCCGGAACTCCTCCTCCAGCCCGACCTTGTTGAAGCGGCTGGCGCTGCCCTGTAGCGTCTGCAGGTGCTTCTCCAGGGAGGACACGTCCAGCTCTGTGTCCCCGTAGAGGTGGTACTCTAGCAAGGCCTGGTAGATGAACGTGTACTGGGTCTGCGGAGACATTGCAGGTGGCCCTGGCGATTGCCCCACAGCCCCAGCTCTGGGGGCCGGCGGGGGCTGGCGGGGGCCAGGGGCAAAAGTGACACTGATGGCCATTTACAGTGACCACTGATGGCCTTGCATAAAGACCACATGGCAGCCGCGTGACTGAGGACGGCACTATGCCCCATGCACCATTCCGTGACAGCCGATGTCGGGCTGCCAAGGCCTCTGGGTGGCTTTGTGAAGCTCCGGCCATGGTGAGCGGTGGGGCCAGGGACAGGGCACTCACGTCCGTCTGCACCATCTGCGGGCGCTGGTTGCGGATTCTCGCCACGAAGTCAAAGACGTCCACCTTCTGCTCGGCGTGCATCATGTCCATCATCGCGTCGATGACGATGAAGGTGCCCGTGCGGCCCACGCCCGCGCTTTGGGGAAAAAGAAAGATGCCGCATGCCAGTCACACCTCCCACACCCCCCAAAGCAAATGACAGGGCCTCAGAAGGTGCCTGCGTGTCTGGACAGAGGGAGGGGCACGCCTGCCCTTAGCGCGGAGGCTGACAACTCACTGAACTCGACCTTGCTTGGGTTACTAAAGAGCAAGTCTATGACGAGGCCAGCAGAGGGCGCCGCAATCTTAGCAAAAGGATCCAGGAAACTGTCAGAGGGCGGACCAGAGACCTTGGCAGCGGTGAGCCTGGCGTGAGGCTGTACCGATAAGTTTTCCTCCACGACCAAGCGTCGTCTGCACGTTAGGGCTGTGTAATCGGCTTTTAAAAAAAGAACTGCCACACCAAAGAGGCTTTTCCAGCTTTCTCACACGAGGCCCCGCCAGCCGGCCGGGTCACGCCCATGGGAGTGCCCGCGGCTCTCGGGCATCTTCGTTGGGGGGCTTTCGCATGGGGTGCCCGATGGGAGATTTCCTCCGGGGAGCTGCCCTCACTCGACTCCGGGTTCAGATTTCCTTCCCTCCCAACACCTGCTCGCGGGCCCCGCCCCTACTTCCCCGTCTCAGCCGAATCACAGACCCTGCTGCCGGCATTCCCCGCACGAATAGACCCCTGTTGCTGCACCGGCTGAGGCTGCGTGGCTGAACCAGGCTCCCTTGCCAGTCCCTGCAGACTGGTTCATGGCTTTGAATATAGGAAACTGATCTTTTTTTTTAATCCCCACCTGAGGACATTTGTTTCACTTTTTTTTTAGAAAAAAAAAAAAAGAATGTCTTTCCCGGGGGCCTTCTGAAACTGCTTCTGTGCACCTGAAGGAGTGACCCCAGCAGCAGCAGCCCCTCAGCCGACGCGAGGCCCAGGCCCCTCCCAGCTGTCCTTCCCATTCCTGACCAGGGGGCCGAGGAGACTGAGCGCAGACCCAGGTCCCAGCACAGACCCAGGTCCCAGCGCCGGCGGCTCTCCTGGCTGCTGTTTGCTTGCTGGGACCCTCGAGCCTCCCGTGCACCTCCATCAAGGCTTGGGGGGGGAGTCCTTGGGAAGTGTGGTCTCCATCCCTGCTCCCGGGGTAAGTCGAGGGACCCTGGGGGCTGTGAAGGGGAGGCCAGCTGCCAGTTCCCTGCCCACCATCAACTCGGGCCCCTTGGCTTGTGTCTGTTTTAGATATTGGGGTCCCCCTCACATGCCGTTGTAGAAAAGGTGCTGCTCCCACGGAATGTGCAGGGTGTGGGCTCTCTGGGCTGCGCCCAGTGTCTGCACGCTCCCATCTGCCCCTCTGCGCACACCGGTCGGCCCACCAGGGGCCGAGTGCTCCCGCTCGGCCAGCCGAGGCCCCGACGCACCTGCAGTGGACCACGATGGGCCCGGCGTGCGCGGGGTTGAGCGCCCTCACTTTCTTCAGGAACTTGAGCATCCCGATGGGGGTGAAAGGCACCCCGAAGTCAGGCCAGCTGGTGAAGTGTAGTTGGCACACGAGCCTCGGGGCTTTGCAGCCGTCGGGCAGCTGCTGCGGGAGAGAGGCGGAGATGTGCGGGCGCAGGCATCCCCGCTCGGACCCCCGCCCAGTCCTGGCAGCTGCAGACCTCCGGGCCCTGTCCATGGTGACGAGGCACCCCAGGCAGGGAAGCCCTCGGCCAGCTCTGGGCCCCCACCACAGCTGTGCACAAGGGCAGGGGGCAGAGCCCGCCGGCATCGGTCCCAGGACCAGGCCAGGGAGGCCCTGGGCAGCCAGCCGCATCCCGAAAGCCTGCCCAGGACTCCGGGGCCCCACGAGGAAGCGGGGTGGCCACCTTCTTTGCCTGGGGTCCTGTCATTACCCCCAGCACCCCTTCCACGCCCCAGTGTCTGGACTGGGGGGAAGAGAGGACACTGCTGGCCGACTTGCAGGAGACACCCAGACCCCCTCAGAGCCGCTTGGAGGTTGTCCCCAGAGCCCACGATGTGCCGCAGACCACAGTGGGTCTGGGGTGTGTGTGTGCATGCGCACACATGTGCAAATGCCTCTCATGTGTGCACACACAACTGCATCTGCACACCTGTTGTATCTGTGTGCATGCACACATGTGTGTTCTCTGTGTGTGCCCATGCCTGTGCTTACGTGGGTTCATGTGCACCTGTGTCTAGTGTGCATGCATGTGTGCAAGTGTCCGGGAGGCAGGCACTCAGGGGGCAGCCAGAACGGCAGGGCCCATCTTCCCGTTTTGCGCTGTGGCTTCTTGAAACCTCAGGCCCGAACTTGGCCGCCTAACGACACCGGTCGCCCGCCTTTCACTCCCGGTAACTCTACCTCCCGTTGCTGCTGTTTGTAACGCGCAGCCTCTGCTCTGTCTGCCTCGCGCAGACAGGCAGCCTTGCTGAACGGCCTTAAAACCCTTCGGGGGATAACCAGCAGGAAAGAATGAGGAAGTTTCGGAGGTAATTTTGAAACTGTTAAAAAAACGCTTTGCCTCGTGATTCCAGTGTGTGAAGTGGCCCTGTCACAGGGGGGACCCCACCCCCGGCTCTGCTGACCGCCTCGCTTCCCCCCCCCACAATGCCCCCGGGAGCCGGGAGTGTCCGGCACCGTGCAAGGACTCTCGGGCACCTCCCCCGTGGCCCCACATGCCTGGACCAGGGACACGGGTCTCGGTCCCCTTCCCACCCCGTCCTCCTCTGGCCTCAGCCCCCATGCAACAACAGCCGGGGGGGGCAAGGCTGGAGGGAGGGGCGCAGCTTTCCACGTTATGAATCACACCCCTGGGTTCACTCTGAAAACGCCCCCCCCCCCATGGAGAAGGACCTTCCCAGAGCGTCGGGCACGCCAGGCGCTCACCGACTGGACGCAGAACTTGCGGATGGTGTAGTCCACCAGCGCCGTGCAGTCCTCCACGCGCACCCGGATGTGTCCGTAGGTCCAGCAGCCCTGGTCCGGCCAGTACTGGCAGCACTTCTCCTGCACAGGGCAGTCGGACAGAGTGGGGCCGGTGGGCGTCTCTCATCGCCCCGTCGCCGTCCCCCACCGTCTCTGCGGGCGGGCCTCGCACACACCAGGTTCCGACCGCGCAGTGCTCGGGGCTGGGGGAGAGCTCAGGCGAGTCTGTGGTCGACCGGGAAACTGAGGCCACACAGAGCCGTGCGTCCCCAAACACTTCCGGTGGGTCTGGCAGGTGGCCCTGGCAGGTGGCCCTGTCCAGCTCGGCTCCTAAGTTCAGACCCGAGGGGCACCTCACCACTCTGCCGTCAAGGGCAACAAAGTCCTGCATTTCTCCAGGGAGGACGGAGCTGGTGCGGTCACGGCAGGCCACCCTGCCCGCCCGCCCTCCTACCTACAAAGGGCCCCCCACCAGCTCAGGCACCCAGCACCTAACCAGCAGTCAGCCCTCCTGAGCACGGGGACCCACGGAGGCAGAAGTTCTGCTCAACACCAGTCTCTGGGAGGCAGCAGCTTCCTAAACCTCGGACAGTTCACCCTGGAAACAGCCCACGGGGGTACAGCTAAGGGGTCAGTCACGAGGATTAATAATCGTACAACCCAGAAGGTGTTTTAGTGTTCGCCAGAGCCCAGAGCTTGTCCAGAACCCACAGGACAACGTCCCCTCCCTACGCCCTAAGCCCGGGCCCTGGGTGTCTCTGAAGTGGTCCCCAGAGAAGCAACCCCCCAAAGGTGCTGGTGTGGGACACTCTCGGCCTCCTGGGGGCCCCCTGCCCCCACAGCGGACGCGGCCCACCCTGCCCACCAGGCCATGAGACGGCTGCCTTTCACAACGCCCAGACAGGATGTTGAAGCCAGCGCGACCGCAGCAGAAGTGTGAGCATGAGGGAAAAGGGAACTCTATTGAGAAATGATTTAATGTGAAACAGGAGACAGGGGGTGCGGGAGCAGGCCCGCTCTGAGTCACAGGAGTGGAAAAATCCAGCGGGAGGTGTCTGAGTGACATCACACAGAAAACACCGGGCGACAGCTGCTGCCGCGTGGGGCCAGGGGAGGTGGGGGCAGGCTCCGGCCCCGCCCCCGCTGGGGCTCAGCTTGTTCCCCTTGCGCTGACAAGCCCTTTCCTCCCCCGCCCCAGCCAGGCCGGTCGTGGGGGCCCTGCCCCAGCATCCGCCCAGAGCACAGGCACCCTCCAGCCAGCTGTCCCCAGGAACCCCCAGCTCCTCCGGGGAGAGAGGCCAGCCTGGGCGGGACCCTCCTGGGCTCCGTCCCAGCTCCTTCGGCAGTAAAGCACAACCGGAAACAAGCGCGGTTTCCTGCTCAGCCCCGACAGTGGCTCTGGGGCAACTTCAGTGCCTCTCGGCTGCTCCACCCGGGTGCCCGCCCCAAACACCGCTGGGCTCAGGGTCCAGGGACGGTTACTGCCGTCTCAGAGGGCTGCCCTTCCCCTGAGCCTTGGCCGAGCTGCCTGGTTGGGCTGGGGACAGGCCAGCTCACCTGCTGTGGGGGAGTGACAGAGGCGGGGTCAGCCCCTCTGGGGCCTGGTGTCCAGCCTGGTGTCTCCTGCCCAGCTGGGCCTTTCTCTACGCCTGCTCCCACCACCGCAGCCGGGGCCTTCAGGCTAAAACGTTCTAGAACGGTCTCCCCACCTTTCACCAGTGTCCCTGCACTTCCCAGCCCTGCCTTCCTTCTGCAGCACGAGCTCATTTCACAAAACACAGTTCCCCAAGCCCCCGCCCCCTGCTCCCCCTGCCCCAGCCAGACCCTCAACCCCCTGGCCCAGCTCTCTGCTGCATTTCTAGCCATCCGGCCCTGGCGTGGGCACCCGAGCAGCGGTCGCAAAAGGACGCCCATCCCCCTGCCCCTCGTGCTTCTCCCAGGCTGGATTTGGTAAGATTCCTTCTAGTCTTTAGGGTCCAGCACCGGCACCGCCCCTAAGTGAGCACCATAGCTGGCACCCTGGCCACACCCCGGGGCTGCCGCCTCTGCCCTCCCCTCCTCCCCACTGCAGGAACCTGATAAGGCCGGTGGCGCTACAGGGCCTGGGTCCCTTTGCCCCAAGTGAAGGCCCCGCCTGGCTGGCTGGGCCTCTGGATGGAGCATGATGGCCCCCATCTCTCTCCATTACTGTTTCTGTCACCCCCTGAGAGTGCACATTTGCTTGCTTTCTGTCGGGTGCCGGCCCTTCCCAGTGGCTGTAAATTGCAGGAGGCGGGTGGCCCGCTGGCCAGCTGGCCAGCTGCTTACACCGCTGACCATGCAGGGCCAGGGCCGGGCCGAGGGCTTGCCTGTGGGGGAGGTGAACCTGCGTCCCTTGCTTCTTTTAGGCGGTTTCAGGTCCTCACAATGCATGTGACTTTTTGAATTAGAAACAGCTAATTAAATACATCGGAACGATAAGCTGGCATCTGCTCAATGCATCTTATTTTTCATACGCATTTGTCCAGTCTGGATGACAAGCAGGAAGTCACTCTTATTTATGGTCTGAGGCTCCGCACATCACACGCCCAACACAACGAACATCAGACATGCTGAGCCCCCCCCAGCCGGGCACGACCCTGGGACGAAAAAGAAAACCCTTCTGCCTTTGCCTCATTGTCTGCGACAGTGAGCTCTGCAGACGCAAGACGGGCCGCACCCCAACCCCGACGAGCTCCGGGGAGGCCAGGAGGGTGGACCCGAAAAGCTCGAGACCAAAAGTGACCACACAGGGCGAACATAAAAATCGCTAACTGTGACTGCGTCACCTTGACCGGAAGTCAGCCGGTCTGTCATCGTTTGGCGTCTGGATAACACACTCCTAGAATGTCAGTCATCTCCCCCTTCTCCCGGCCCCCCAGGGCATGAGACCAGGGACCCTCATTGTCACCTTGCCCCCCGAACACCTCTCTGAGTGCCGCAACATTAATTACAGACCGTACCCACCAACATGCAGAAGGTGTGTCTCCCCATTGTGCTTTTCGCCCCATCCCAGAGATCTCGCCGTCTCCCGCCTCCCGCCTCCCTAACCAACCGCCAATGGATTTTTTGTCTCCTCCTTTGATTCTAAAATAAGCTGCGAAATCAGCTTGGGACCGTTTTCTCAGTTCATTGAGGTTCTGCTTCCCAGCAAATTCATGAAAATGCTCGACAGGTTTGGACATTTCTTATGTCAACAGTTACTTCCAACACAGAATTATTTCAAGATAAAATGCTCTTGAGCCAGGGGGTGGTTTTTTCCCTTCTGCAGTGATAAGAAGGGAGAGGACTAGAAAAGGAAGCGGCGACACCGCTCCGCACGTGCGCGTGCACACGCGCACACATGCGCCCATTCCTTGCAGCGGCAGCGGTGGCAACGAGAAGCACCCCCAGCCCCTGACTCACCTCTTTCCTCTCCTTCAGGTTTGTCAACATGACAATGGTTGAAGATTTCTGTTCCCAGATCATCCGCCAGAAGTCATTCACTGTTTCCTGCTTAGGGCCTGTGAGTGCAGGAGGGCCTCGGCCTCAGGCACAGATTGGACTCGAAGGTCCCAGCCCCTTGGCCTTCGGGCCCTGGACCCCAGTTCCCCCCACCCCCCAGCTCCAAGGCACGAAAGGGCCGGTGGGGCCTGTTCACACCCCACAGAATTCCAGAGCCTCTGGGCTGGGAGGGACATGCCGGTCACCCCAGGCTCCCTGCTGCCCCCCCGGAGGTGGGTGGTCTGCAGGGAGCTAAGGCACGGCACCCAGGCAGGTGAGGGGGGTCGGCAGCTGCGTGTCCGAGTGGTTTGTGGCCACTCCGTGTTGGTGGGTCTCAGAGTGTCAGCCCCCGCTCCAGAAGCTGACCCAGCAATGGGTGTGTGTGAGTGTGACTGTGTGTGAGTATGAATGTGTGAGTGTGCGAGTGTGTGAGATGAGAAAGTCACAGGAGGGAGCTTACCTTGAGCTGCTATGAATTTATTCTTCTCTTTGTAACCCTAGAAAAATAAAATCAGGTTTATAATTTTCCCAAATTCTCTCTGCTGAAAAAGACCTTTTTACTGTCGTGGGGAAAGCCGTACACATCCGTGATGAAACGGCTGGAAAACTCACACAGGAAAGTAAGACCGCGTTCAGCAGGAACTGCGGGAATGACAGAGGCTGCTTCTGGGCGTCTCTCTCCAGCCTCTTTCTCTGTGGATGCCTCTGAGACGCACCCACAAGCAGGCACGCGGGCAGACGCCCATATTTGTGATTGGTGTATACGCACAAACTCTATTGTACTGCTGTGCTAATTTGGTAATTCACATTACGGATCTTTGAAGGATCAATTAAAATGGATTCGTCCTAATTCACCATGTGTGGCTTTACCACGCTTTATTTACTGGGTCCCTCCTGCTGTATGTTGTCAGCAATATAAATAAAGCTGTGGTGAACATTTGGAGGGCTTATGTTTCTAGAAAGTGAACCCCAGGACACAGACACTAGTGGGAAGGGTGTGGATGCAGCTGTGCCATCCGCGCTGTGGCCAAACTGCCCGGCACGGCTGTGCCAGTTCCCATTCCTGGAGCCGGACACACGGGTGCCCATGGGTCATGCGTGCTCGTCACGCTGGGCCGGGGCCGGGGTGACGGGGACTTACATCTATGTAGGAGGCGTTAATGTAGTCTGAACAGGGCGCTCCATCCACTTGGCTCAAAACCACCCTGGTGTGGTCATCTGTTTGGAAAGAGCAACACGGCATCAGGACAAGGGATCGTCACAGCCGCCACATACACTTCTACCTGCAGTGCTGAACTCCACAAAGGCATAGCTGGGTCTCCCCTGAAGGGCCCGAGGGACTCGGGCAGAGGCGAGAAGCTCAGTGCCTGGCGGAGGCTGCCTGCTGCCACCCGGACACCGGCCAGCAAAGCGGTGGCTGACGACTTCCGTGGGCCCCAGCGGGGCCTCGGTGCTGACCAGCGCAGGTGAGCTCAGGGGAGCTGCTGGGGTCACTCTCCCAGGCTCTCCGGAGGTGGGGGATGACTGCCAGACAAGCAGACATTGGGGCCTGGGGTTCAGGGCTGCAGCCCCCAGTTCTCATCCCTCAGGGCCGCCTCAGAGAGGAAGGTGTGCAGGACTCGCAGACTCCTGGGCTTGACGGGCCACCTGCCTGGGAGATTCCAGCCTGGGGACAAGCAGCTTCCCAGAGTGGGAGGAGCTGTGCATGAGTGTGGATGAGAGTGTGTGATGTGTGTGTGCAAGCACACGCTGGGGAGGTGCCCACCAGCCCCGTTACGGCCTCGGTGGGTCTGTGTCTCTCTGCCTCCAGGGCCTCACTCCCCACCAGGAACATCAGACACGTCGAAGCTGTGTCAGCGGTCAGTGTAGATGGACGTCAGCCAGGCTGCCTGACCGCCGCGTGTGTCTTCTGACTCAGGGAGAGATCAGACGGTTCACGGGGCCCCTGACAGTGCTGTGTCCCGGCTCCTGGCGCCATTCGGCAGCGGGCATCCCGAGGTGCTCAGACTTGCCGGGCCGAGGGAAGCTGACTGTGGGGGCGGTCACCCCTGAGCCAGCTCGGAATTTGGCGCACAGTGGGTGCTTTGTGTTCACCTGCAGCATTGATCAGCGAGTAATTCCCCATCTCCGTCCCAGCTCAGTCCCCTCCTCCTGGGCACTGGACTGAAGTCACTGAGGGGGTGCATGTGTGATGGGAGTCTGGGCATCATGTCATCGGACCAGCTCTGTCCTGCTGCTCACAGAGGACAGGCCGGTGCGGTCCTTGGAGACAGTGACAGCCCACATGGGGTGGTCAGGGTATCAAACCCCAAAGCACCAGCCTACTCGGACTGGGCCACGAGGCCCTGTGCTCAGGGGCTGACCACCCTGAGGCAGAACGTGGGCACGGAGCCGGTTAAAATTAGAGAATTTGCACTTTGAGGACAGCTATAGAAAGCAGAAGGAAAAAATAGACTTCTGATTAGGTCTAGAATCTTGCAGTTTCTAAGAGCTTCCTGTCTTTTTATTCTAAAAAGTCACACTTCACTTTCAAAGCATTATTTCCTAAATTTACCAGCTGTAGGCATTTTCCCTGAAAATAGGATACTCTTGCCTCTCGGCAGCCCTGCCCCAGGACACACCCGGCGTTGGAGTCTTACCTGTGTCCTCAGAGCTCGGGGCGGGGGGCATGTCCCTGGCCAGGATCCCCCCACTCCCGGAGAGGCAGCTTGTAAATCTGGTAAATCTGTAGCCAGTCTGAGTTTGGGGGAGACTGGGAGAGGCCAGGAAGGTGCCCGGGGAGGTGGAAGTTGGGCCCTGGCCCTTCTTCCTGCCTGTGGACCCTAAACCCACCCTGAGTCAGATCGGGGTCTCTGGCCCCTGCACAGCATCCCCTGGCCCAGCTCACAAATGCCCTGGCCCCCAGCGGGGCCCAGGGCGTCTCTGGCCAACTTCAAAGAAGTCAGACACCCCTCTCAGTCAGCCTGTGTTTTGCAGATGCTAAACGCCCGATGCCAACCCGCGGGCCACCTCCAGGGCACATCCCAGTGTCTCCACGTCACCATTCCGTCAACCCACTATCCTGCCAACGTAAAACGCGTTGCATCCTGGCACAGTCCCCCAGCCCTTGATGACCACCGGCACCCTCGGTTTTCTCTGACGAGGGGCTGCTGGGCTGGGAGGGGCCGAGGCGGGACCCTCACACTGGTGGGGAGAGAGGACTTATGGGGGGTGTGAGAAGAGCCTGTCCTGTCCCCTGTCACACTCCAGACCCGCAGTAAAGGCCGGCCTCCTTCCGCAGTACAAGCTGGAGAACTGCAGGGGGCCAGCCCTGCTTCTCCTGGTCGGGGACCCTCAGGGAACAGGGTACCACGTCCTGGGAGGAGGCAGGAGGTGGGTGGGGTGCAGGTAATTCCCACGCCTGGACATTCATTCCACTCCCATTAAAGGCCCACCAAAACTACTCTTAAAGGAGAAAGCATTAGCCGGTTGAGAAATGTGGGTCAGGAACCTGGCCAAGTGCTTGGCCCAGAGGAGGGCTCCGACATGTTTGTATATTCTGCAGATCAGTGAGTGAATTAAACTCACTGACACCCCAAACAGCCTGGTTTTTACTTGACACAATTATTCCAAAGACCCCCAACCTCCTTCTGGGCCCCCCCCAGCCCATGCACCTCCCCCTGTTCTCTGTGGCCCAGCAGCAAAGCTGCTGGATGCCGTCTGTCAACCCGGGCCCCAGAGCCCCTCACAGCTCGGCCGCAGGGCCACAGCAGCCACCTGACCTGCCTCCCGGGGGCTCCCTGGCCTCCTCTATGCCCACGGAGGGATGGGAGACATGTGTTTAATTGTTCTAGTTTCCGCTGGATCCCAGGGCCGGGGGCTCTGCCACACCTCACGTAAATCGGACACCTGCAAAATGGGAACGATTCTTCCTATCGGGGCCTGAGAACCCAGAGGCCGCACGAATCGGGTGGCCCGCGGCCTCGGTCGCCCGTGAAGCGGGTGCACTCACTTCTCACCCTGTGAATGCAACCAAGAGCCCCCGCTGGAGCTGGCTCACCGGTGGGCTCCACAGTCCCACGGACAGAGTGCCCACCCGAGGGCGGAGGCCTCGGGTTCAGGGCGAAAACCTGACCTCAGGGGACTCCTGGAGGCCGCCATAGCACTAGCCTATGGGCAAAGCTGACGGGGGTGGGGGAGGGGGTCCAGGGGGGATGAGGAACCACACAACCTTCCCGGGCTGGCTTTTCCAGAGGAGAACTCGTGGAACTTCAGGTTCGTCTTGGCAGCAAGGCTGGCAGTGAACGGCTCTGCAGGGCCACAGCCCCATCAGTGACGCCCTGGCCACACCGGCCAGCTGCCCGGCCCCCACCTCCTCGAGTCTGCACTCTCCTGCCCGTGGCAGCCTTTAGCGGTTGTGGTTTAAATCGGGCTTATTGGAAAGTTCCCACAACTGTGGCCAAAGGCCTACAGGTTTCTTATCTGTCATTTCTGCCCTTGGTCCAGGGGACTTGCTGCTGGTGGCCACGGGCACCGAGTCCTGAATCCAAGAGAAGGAGATGCTCAGGGCCACCAGCTGCCCTGGCCGGGGCTCAGGATGGGGTGCAGTGCGGGCAGTCCCCATGGAGCCCCGGGTCGGCCCAGGTCTGCGTTAAGCACAGGCTCAGGGGCCGGAGCCTCACCAGCACGGGCCCCGTGTGGCCGAGGCACCAGGGGCAAAGGCCGTGCCAGTGGGACTCCGATCTCTGGGCAGCAGACCCTCCTGCCACACTCTGGGACAGACACCGCCCGTCCCCAGGGCCGCAAGAGAATTCGGAGTTTCATCGAAATGCCACCAACCATGCAAACAAGTAAAATCTTACTGGGAAGGATGTTGGGGTATCTGTTTTTTTCTCTGTTTTCTTCTTTATTGGCCTGCTCAAAAGCTCCTTGTGTGTGTCCTGACGGCAGCGACTGGAAGAAAATGCAGAGTTAGTGCGGAACGTGATGCCAACCAGCTCCTGTCATCTCATCAATGGTGACAAATCGCTGTTGGTCATTCGTAACAAATGCAGTGCACCAATGCAGTGGGTCCATCATCGAACTTGATACTTCACAACCAATTAGTCTATAAACCTAAAAGTGCCCTAAAAATAGTCTAGTAAAAATAAGGAATTAAAAAGGAAGAAAAGCCCGAGAGGCCTGTTTTCCTTGGAAGGTGCGGCGTCCACACACAGTGTGGTGGGTGGGGGTGGCGGGCGGGATCTCCGCGGCGAGGAGGGACCTGGCTCTGACCCCAGCGGCCCAGCCTGGCATCTGCCCCAGATGGAGACAGAGTGACAATACCAGCTCCGTGGGCGGCACAGAATGTCCCTCAGGGTGACAGAAACAAAGGGCTCGGGCACCGAACACATGGCAGATTCCAGGCAGCCGGGGAGGGCCAGCCCAGGGGCCGCCCAGCACTCTGTCCTGCCCACAGTCTGCTGAGCCTCCGGTCACCTGGGCTCTCGAGGAGCGGGGGAGCCGGGACAGCTGGGGAGGGCCAGGCATGAGGGTGCTGGCAGCAGTTGGTCCGTGACACCTGAGTCAGTGTCCAGCTATGTAACTGGCTGAGAGGGTTTGTTTGTCCGTGGAGGTGAGATTTCATTGCCGTGAATGTGCCTGTGAGCCTGTGTGTGTTCTCAGTGCAGGGTGGACGGCAGTGAACACAGGGGCACAGACCAGGGGTCCGGTGGGGGCTGTCCCACAAGCCTGGGGATGGCTCTGGCTTGTGCATTGTGCTGGGGCCCCTCCTGGTGGCACCTGCCCTGGGCTTCTCTCAGCCATATCACTGGATCGGGCCCTGGCAGTGGCTGGGCCGGCAGCTCTCGCCAGAACCTGGGCGAAGAGGGCATTTTCTCGGCCCGGGGGGCACGCCCCTGAGAGATCTAATCTGGAGCCTGAACAGACTTGGCTAGGACTGCGCTCGGCCACTTCGGGACACTGATGATGACACCGGAAGTCACAGAAGCCGTCCTGAAAACATAGCCGCTCCAGCTCCCTCGGTGCACACCAGGCCAAGCTGGGTACACACCTCGCCTCTTTCACAGGTCACCCACGAAAACCCTCGGTGCAGGGAGCCCCCTCCTCTCCCAGAGGAGGAGCCCAAGGTGGAGACTCAGTGAGTCGCCCCAGCCCTCTCAGCTGCAGAAGGCAAACCGGAGTAGGAGGTCCAGCAGGCTGCCGCCAGCACCTACTGGACTGACCCCCAGGACCGGGCACCCTGCACCCTCAAGCCCAGCTCTGCTCCGTTCAGCAGCACACACACGTCCAAACAGTGGGGTCTGCCTCTTTGACACCCAGCTGTCTCCCTTTCACAGCTCTTGGGAGAGACTCTTGAGGCCATGGGCAAGAAAAGAGGGGGGTTGGGGTTAGGGCCCACGCCCAGCGTGTCCCTCTGAGGACCCAAGAGGGGGCTGGTCCTGGGGGCTCTGCAGCTCTTAGCGGAGGGATAAGGCACAGATGTGGCTCAGGCCACAGCCGTCCCCCACTCAAGAGGACAGCAAACTGGGGCCCACAGAGTAGCCTTACAAGCAGCTTGTCCAGGGTCCCCTGGAGCCAGGACCAGGTTCCACGCCACTAGACTTAAGTCCAGCACGGTCCCCTCTGCCACATCTCCACATGCCCTTCACTGAGCGGAGGGACTCCTGTGGTGCCCGAGGGCGGGGCGAGGCCAGGCGGGGGCCAGGACAGTGAGGTCCCTGTCTGGGGAGCCAAATCAAAAGGGGCCCCCCAAGGCCTCGGAATTGAAAATAAAATAATAGATGATGTAACAGTTAAAAAAATCAAAATTAATGCCCCAAATTTGTAATGGTCGCAACATCAAACTTGGAAGCCGGGGCACAATCAGCAAGCAAGTGGTGACAGGTTGCCCTGCTGGAGCCTGGAGCAACTGGAGCAATCAGTCGGCACCGTCCCGCCGTTGCTCACACGGCTGCTCCGTTCCGCACGGACTGCCTGCATTCACTCAGATATTCTAAAACGCTGCACTGAAATACTATTTATCCTGACGACTCAGTGCTTTGAGATCTCCTTAAATCCCGCAGCTGGGCCAGGGCCTCCCCGGCCCCACCCCCTGCCCCTCAGCGGCTGCACGTACTTGAAACGGGGCGGGGCGGGGAGGCTGTGACTCAGAGCCCTGCACCAGCTTGGAGTCCCGAGTTGCAGGGACAGACGTCACCAGGGGAAGTGGGACAAGAAGAGAGGGGGAAAGCCTTGTCACCAGACACTGGAGTGTTATTTCGAGAATGCATAACTAACTTCTCTTATCAGTCCGAGAGACTGAAAAAAGAGTACCGCTCCGGGATGTCTTTCACTATGACCTAATTTCCCCAAAAAGGGGACACACTTGGAAACAATCACAAAGAAGCATGATAAAGGCAGATGGGACTCGCACTGGGAAACAAGCAAAGTCCATTCAAATGTGCTGTGGAGTTCCCGGGGCCCTCCTGGCGGCTTCCGTGAGAAAAGTCACGTGAATGCGGCAGGAGTAGTGCCGTCTTTAGCTGTGATGATTGCACAACACTGTGCTCCGTACGGAGTCCCTGGTCTCAGCCTCACATTGGAGCTCTGAGGTCACTGAGGCAGGCACTTGCCCTGCCCTCGCAGTTGAGGTGGAGGCCGCTGAGGGACGTGCCAGGGCCGGGCTGGCAGCTGGAGCCCAGGCGAGTCAGCGCCCTGCCGGGGGCGTGTCCCAGCTCACACTCCACATGCCGCCTGCAGCCACATACAAAATGTGGGAGATGCAGGACCTAAAACCCAGGGACAAACACCGAAGAGCAAAGTCTTCTAATGACTGTCTCCCTGCCCATCTCCACATCTGTCTGTCTGTCCATCTGTCTGATTCACAATCATAGGACATTAAATAAAAATTAGCAATGCCAGGGGAGGTGTCCTGGAGGTATCTGCATTTCTGGCAGAGAGTAAGTTGTGTCACTTTGCTATCACAGGGACTGGACCGGTTCGTGAAATCCACCTCAGCCATTGCCACGGCCAAGTTCGTGGAGGGAAGTCATCCCAGCAGCAGCTGCTGGTGAAACCAGCAGGGACTCAGGTTGCACGGACTCAGGTGGACCCCAAAAAGCAGTTGGCACAGAACTTGTGTCCCTGGAGGAGGCCCCCTGCTATGCTGACTTGACCTTGGGATGGTGGCCCAGTGGAGGTGCAGCTCCTACCACAACCAGATGCTCAGGCTGTTGGGACATCCGTGGCTTTCGTGAGAGAGGGTCACACTATGGTCCCTCGGGCCTGGTCTCCCAGGTCATTGAGACTACAGTGTCTCTGTCACACCAGGTTCCAGGCCACGGAGAACCCTCGGGGTGTGTGCGCTGGAAGGAGACTTCGCAAACGTCTCACTCCACTGTCTCATCTCCTAAGTCAGGAATGAGCGCCAGCGGGGGGCACCGCAACTAGAACGTGGCTTCCCCAGACCTCCATTTTGGGGGGTCATACTGGATGTGGGAGTCCTGAGCCTTTGCCGTATTAACCTTAACCATCACACCGTACGGCCAGGTTCCCGACCACAGGCCAGGGGGGCCGAGGGGCCAACTCACGTTGAACTCCTCCCGGAACCTCTTACACTCGTCAGCCGACCGCGCTCGGATCTCCTCCTCCAGCTGCCCCACGGGGATGGGGAAGTACTTCTGGGGCCCGGACGGGGACCTGCTGAGGAGCATCACTCTCTGCTGCTCTGTGGGGTCGAGAGAAACATGGGGGTACTTAGCCGCACTCCTGGGTGGGCGGTCCGGTAGACAGACTGACCTACAACATCCCTGGAGAAGTGACAGCCGGAGGGGGGCGACATTCCTTCCTCTCTGGTCACGTAGCCTGAGCAACAAGGCAGAGAAAGGTGCCCTTTGGCATAGCCGCCTGGTCTGCACACCTGTGAGGGACGGGGGTCCCTGCGGCGGATTACCCGCTCTCACCCACCGCAGATGCCGTAGCCCCCTCCCCCCGCCTCCCCTCCTGCTCCGACCCCTCCAAGGAAGGCGGGGGGCGGGGGGAGGGCAGCCTCCGACTGCAGCTTGTCTCCGGGCTGGAAAGGGAGGGCACTCGCCCAGGTGTCTGGGTGTGCACGGGGGACGCAGCTGGCATACGAGCCCCCCTCTGTCTTGTGCTGTTTGTAACAAACGGCCCTGGTCACTGAAACCCCAGGAGCTTCCAGGGACAACCTCCCTCCATTTTGGTTTTGGTGTTTCGGAAGGAGGGGTGGGGAGGTAGGGATGTATGAAAAGGAGAGGGGTGACGGGCCTGCCAGCAGAGCTCCCAGACATAATGCACCCCCAGTTCACAGTGAGACGAGGAGAGACATCACCGGGCCCGGCTTCACCAGGTCCACCTTGCCGAAGGCCCGTCCTTCCCGGGGAACTGCTCTGAAGCCCAGCCGGGAGCCGCCCCCGGGGCCCGTGGCCCACAACACCCAGAGGCATCGGAATGAGTGCTCCCGCCCCACCCGGCACACCCTCCTCCCTGCCCCTGGGGACTGGCAGGAAGGTGGCTCTGGAGGCCGCATTGTCATCCACCCAGGCACACATGTCAAACTGTTGTCCTTCCAGACGGTCCATTGTTGTGGATTTTCCTGCTGTTATCTCGGGAACACTCAGCTTCCCCCTTTGAGGCCCCCAAAACCGTACAGCCTCTGGCAGCCAGCTGGCTGGAGACGATGTCACCCCTGATGGCGGGGACCCAGCTTTTACAGCGTCTGCCTCTCACGCCTTCCCCAGCCACCTCCAGGTGCGGGGAGAAAAGCAGGGTGTCTGTGAGTAGCCCTGCCAGCTGGTCGCTGCACTTGGCACCTCAGGGAGGCTCCCGGTTAAACACTCGGTGCCGGGCCCCAAGCCAGCAGGTTTCCGGGGAGCCCCTGAGGGCTCTGGACCCAGAACCCCCGTCGCATCTCAGACTCACTGAAAAATGCACGTCAGGGCCCCGTGAAAAGGCAGGATGTGAATGGTGTCTCAGAAAAGCCACAAACCGCCACGTTTCACATGTCTGTTTCCCACCGGAGGGAAAAGGAGGCGAGTCGGGACCCTGTGCCCCTCCAGGGTGGCTCTGCCAGCGTTTGGGCAGGGGAAGCGGGGCTGGAGGTGGTGGCCACGGGGGGGCCCGGCCGGACCTGCCAGGGTGCGTACCTTGCTCCTCCAGGATCCCGTTGGGCATCTTCTTGTCGTTGGTGCTGACGGTGGCCTTCCGGTGCTTCCTGAACCTGAGAGACAGGCACGTTAGGTTTTGGCACAGGGGTCCCCGAGCCCGGAGACCAGAATGGCGGCACCCACCAGGTGAGCCGGGAGAAGCTGTTCCTGCTGCTCATGGCTGAGCCGCTGCCGCCCGCGTCCCTCTGCCCCGCGGCCCGCCGCCCTCTGCCCCCGGGCCCCACGCCCCGCCGTCATCACAGCCCGTGGGCGCTCATTTCCTCATCTGAGCGGACGGGCGAGTCAGCGCAGGACACTCCTACCTGAAGAAGTAGGCGGCCAGAGGCAGGAAGAGGAGGAGTAGCAGCAGGGGCAGCAGCAGCCAGGCCAGCAGGGGCCGGGGGCCGGCGGCGGGGGGCCCTGGGGGTGGAAGTGGGGCCCGTCACGACCCTCCCAAGTCTCGGGGGAGGGCTTGGGTGGTGGGGAGGGGCTCTGGGGAAGGGAGGCTCCCAGCACCAGACCGCACTCCAGTCGGCAAAGTGCCGCCCACGAGCCCCTCTCCCCCACTCCAGAGCCGCTCCCCCCAGTGGGTGCGGTGGTCCTTCCCCACCAGCCCTTCTTCCCGGAGCCGCTGCACAACTGACAAAGCCTTTCTTCCTGGGCAACAGTCCACTGTCCTTGTCTATCGTGGCCACAACCCCCTCCCCACTTAACGAGCGGTGTGTTGACACCAAGAAGAAAACTCGAGCTGAGGAGCCAGAGACCTGACTCGAACCAGGTCCCCTGGGGGGGGGCAGTGACCGAGCCACATGGAGTCCCCCTGGCCCCTACCCCCAGGTGGCCTGTTAGTCACAGTTCCCAAGACTCCCACCTCTCCCCCTAATGGGGAGGTAGAGTGGGATAGGGTGTAGGACATGCTGGGAGCTCCCAGGGCCCCAGGGGGGACCTCAGGGTGTGGGGGTGCAGGCCCGCCCTGGGGCTGGTGAGAGGCCGAAGCCCCTGGGACCCGGATCCCAGAGCCAGGAGCCGTGGTCCCACCTGCCCCGAGGAGTGCTGGCCTCCGGGCACCGCCCTCGTCCTCCCGGCCTCTGCCCTTCATGTCAGCCAGGCTGACCTTCCTTGAGCAGAAGCCCCACCCCTGGAAGCAGTGTAGCTGCCTCGTGGCTGCCAGGACCTGCCCCCCAAGCCCAAACTCCAAGGCACTCTGATGGCTGGACTGCCAGCTTCGGTCCACCTCCCCCCGCCCATCACATTGTCCTCTCCCCACCAAAATGTCCCCGCTCTCCAACAAACACCTCAGAGGCCTCTTCCTCCAGGAAGCCCACTCAGCTTCTCTCTAGTGGGTCCAGCAGGGCCTCCGGGCAAAGGTCCTGTCTCCTGCAGTGAAAGACCCTGTGGGCGACAGCCTTAGCTTGCATTCCAGGGGAGCCCTCAAAGGCAGCCCTGGGGTGCTTGCACTTGGTGTTCACAGAAGCACCAAGCACGGCCCTGAGCCCGGCAGGGGCTCCCCATTCCTGCAGTCTCCCCTCACCTTGTGCCCCCTCCCTGTGAATTCTAAGTCATGACCCGCCTCTCCCCCTGGGAGCAGGTCACTCAACCCTCTACGCCCTGGCACTCTGCAAGCGGTCAATGCCTATGTCTCTAATAAATGACAGAATTTTCCTGACTCGAGTGACTGTCAGATGCAGCAGCACAGTACACTGAGGACCGTTGGACTGTGATGCGGAGGTGGCCCCAGCCACGTGAACCCTGGCCCGCCTCGAACACCCTGACCCAGGATGTGCCGATGGCTCCCCCTGCTGGCCAGTGACACTCAAAGGCCCTGCTGCAGCCCAGGGCATGAGAGCTCCTGCCCAGGCCCCTCCGGGGCCCCTTGCAGTAGAGCTCCCCTGGGGAGCCCACCTGGCCTGAGGCTTCCACACCTGTCGATCTGCGAGCACCCTCCCTACCTGCCAGGGCCTTGCACACGGCCCCGGCCCAGGCTACCGGGGAGAGGCCTGGCACGGAGGGGTGTAGCTGGTCCAGGCCTGGAGAGGAAGTGGCTGCTCTGCACCCAGGAGTGGGCTCCGTCTCTGCCCGACACTGTGGCCACAGAGCCGGAAGGACGCCCCTTCCTTTCGCTGCCGCGGACACGCCCGCTTCTGCAGCACACGGGGTCAGGCGGCCCACTCAGCCTCCGCCTGGCAGTGTCTGACCAGCCGGTTCTCGGGTCCGAGGGTGGGTGGCCCCGGCTGAGGATGCAGGCCTGTCCGGGAGCTTCGGGGGGACACCTGGGCTACAGACTGCCCACCCGGGGGCCTCTGCCAGGGGTCCGCGGGGTCCAGCCACCCCACTCAGGTCGCCTGCAGGAAGGCTGGCGGAGGTGCGGGGATTGCCGAGCACGCGCCCCAGGACAGGGCGGGGCGACCCAAGCAAGGCCCCAGACGGGGCTGCGCCCACGACAGGGGCCAGGGATCGCAGGGGCAGACGGGTTGCCCCACTCGGGTTCCTGCCCTTATCCAGCAGCTGCCTCTGTTTTGGAGGGCACGCCAGGCAGGCACGCTGCGGGGGCGGGGCAGGCCCGCGAGGAAACCGGGCGTCCGCCTGAGAAATGGCGGCCTCTCAGCCCCAGCCCCAGGGCTGGGGCGGACAGTGGGCGCACACTGCCCACTCTTCCCAATTTGGCAAAGGAAGGAGTCTTCATTTTTACATAAATTAATCTGATGTTCAACTATTTGTAAGTAATTCAACCTAAAGACAATTCTGGAAAACCATGTGGGCCAGAAAAAAACCTCTGCAGCCCGGGCGATGGCCCTGGACACGGATTTGCTCCGGAGAGGCAGGGAGGGGGTGGGGTCCAAGAGGAAATCCCGAAGCGGCTGGAAAGCCGCTTTTTTTTTTCTCACCGGTTTCTTTTCTCACCGGTGGGGCCCCGCCTGCGGGGGAGGGGCGCCCAGACAGTTGCTCACAGCAGCCGTCTCCCCATTTCCTCCCCGGGGGGGCGCTCCAAGTCAAGTGTGCGTGATGTTCACGCAAATTTTGTGCACACACACACTGCGAAGCCAGTAACTTACACAGATTCTGGTCCTGGAAATTGAAGTTCTGGGCTTGAGTGTGAGTTTCAACCTTTTTCATCTCATGGCACACATCAGCTAATTACTAAAATTCTGCGTTACAGCAAAATACAGGTTCCGGCGGAAATAACGCCACTGAGTGTGACGGGCAGGGGACATGAGTGTCTCGCACGAGGTGGACAGCAATTCTGAACATTCCCCCTAAAATGTCACACGGTGTGCTTGAGCACCATATTGTTACGTTACAGAATTTCATGCTGATGATCTTGAAATAAAAGATTTTTTATGTAATAAAAAAGAAGCATTATTTGTGTCGGACCCTGTACATATTTTTTGCTGATCTGACATAAAAAGGTATAATTTTTATGGTTTTACAAAAAAATATTAATACTAATTACCTACCCTTTTTGCTCCAAAGGGACTTTTTAAAAAGTCAGGTGTCTATAAGTGTATATAAGGATTTATAATGCCAAGAATTAACCAATCAGGTGCAATGTAACTGACCGATTAAATGTAACTCTATTACATTAACCTATATATTTATGGTTCAAGACAGGGCGTTCATACTGGCTGGCCACTGCTGTGTTTGCTGCTGTCATTTTTTAATTTGACATTCTAAGGGAAAAGAGGTCAGTGCCCCTGACGAAGTAGTTACGTACTGCAGGTTTTTAAAATTCCTGCCGCGCAAGAGTTGAAAATCGCTGCCTCAGGCCAGGCACCTGGCAGGAAGGCCCTGGGGGAGGGGCTGTGGGCAGGCGGGACCGCCCCTTGGTTGGCTCCTCCCCCAGAACAGCTCCCTGTGAGGAAGTGGCCACTGGGTCTCCTTGTCTGTGTCTTGTTGACACGGTTTTCCTGGAGAACCCTGATCGGTGTTCACAAGGGGAGAGAACAGAATGCTCAGCCCCATGCACCTGCCACCAGCTTTGTTAGCAGGACCCGGTCGAGCACCTTCATCCGCAGTCCCGCCTACCTCCTGCCCCAATTCTCCTCTCAAGTGGCTCCTAGAACAGCCTTAGCCTGACAGCATCCTTTCCTATCCGTTGTAAATACTCTCACCGGGTACATGCCTCTAAAAGTAAGGACTCTTATTTTAAAACACCAACCTAACCGCTAAACCAACGGCTTGTCTAAAAACATTAATGACAGTTTCTGCATTCATCTCAACTGCTACGTCCACGTTGAAAGGTCCCAGGCTGGCTGCCATGTTCGCTCATGGCTGGGCCGGTCTGAGGGGTTCCCGCGTGGGGTCTCCTGCTCCCCACTGCGGCGGAGGCCAACCCTCAGCACAGGGCTCCGTCTGCTGCCTCCCACCCGCAGCGCTTGCTGCAGCGAACCAGGAACAACCGGCTTTCCTGGCCTGCCTGTTTTTATGGGCGGCAAACGTTCAAAGCCAACCACAAAGCCAACCACACCTTCCTCCGCCCCCGCAGCCACGCTATCACCCTGAAGGCCCCCTGACCCCTGGGCCGAGGGGGCGGCGAGGGTGGCGAGGGCGGCCCAGAGGAGGCAGCGGGCCCTTACCCGAGGTCGCGGAGGTCCAGTTGCTGTCCGCCGGGGTGGTCTCGTTGACTGTGAACGCCCCAGCCAGCAGCGAGCTAAAACCTGCCAGCAGGAGTGGGCAGAAGGGCTCCATGGTGAACCTGGAAGAGGCAAGACAGACTCAGGGGACTCACCCTCCCCCGAGGTGGGCGCGCACCGCGTGGCAGATGTGGGGCGCCCGGGGAGCACTGCTCGGCTCCTTGGAGTGTGGGAGAGGGGCCCCGCACCTCGGTGGGCACAGCCAGGATTGCGCCTTAGGGCACGCCAGGCCCCAGACTCCCGGAGGCGCCCCCAGGCTCCTCAAGTGCCAGCAACTTGGATTAACTTCCCTTTGTGCCCATGTGCCTGTTCAGGGGGACAGGACAGTGATGGGGTGGGGGTGGGGCGGAGGCAAACAAGGGCCTGGAGGTGCCTGGAGGGAGAAATTCCAAAAACACTGCGAGATCCAGGATTCCGAGGAGCAGCCTCACAGATCCGTGGTCCCCATCACTTCTGGATTCCACGTGACAACCACCGGTCGGCAGTGGAGGGACGTGGGTTGGGCCCACCGTGACACCAGCTCTCCCAGTGTCTGGGAGCAGGCGTGGTCTGGGCCTCTCATGGCCCAGAGAAGGATCGGTCCCCCAGCCCAGCTCTCACGCTGCATTAAAAAACATCCGCTCCAACATTCTACATTTGAGTCACTGACTAGGTGGGACTTAGTGCTCGCCGGCTAATACGACCCCGCGATGCAGAATTCCTCGTTAAAACGCTTTCTCCATCACACGCACTAATTTGAAAATGCTCTTCACCGAAAGTCGACCCTTAGAGGAGGCGGAGACCTCCAGCATCCTGCACGCGACACAGCGTGATTTGCCTGCTGTGACCAGCAGAGGGCGCCAACCCTCGCAGAATTCAAACGCATCTCACTATCCGAGTCCCCTAACTGGAGTGATTACATTCCCAGACCAAGGGCCACTTGCCCGTCCCTGGACACACGCCCTCGAAGGGCTGGCACCAGCTACCTGACAAGCACAGATCTGAGTCAGCACAACAATAACGTGCAAAGCAGGAGTTAACTCCATGTCGAATTTCAGCCATTTTATTTAATCAGTTTCTTGTGCACTTACAAACCCTAAGAACGGTTGGGGCACAAAATACGTCGGATCTCCAGACCAAGATGATCGACTCAGTTTACTCCCAGCCGGCGACCTTGCCCTTCACTCCCAGCGGAAGCCAGCCAGCGGCCGCTCCAACTAGAACGGCCTTTTTATTCCCTTTCAATGCTCTTCGGAGGGGGAGCTGCTCTGGGCTGGTCACTCGGCCTGACTCCAGGCCCCACGTCTCGACCTTGGTGCGGCCGCCTGTGGGCTGGCTTGCCGCAGGTGCCCCATCAGTGCTGCGGAACGGTGACAGTCCCCAAGCACCACAGAGAAAGCCAGCAGCTTGGAGAAGTGCATGGTCCTTCCTCAGAGTCCCTAACAGGGAGCCGCTGAGTCTGGTCCCCAGGGGTCCTCAGCATGTGGCATGGGGCTGCCCTTTCTCCAGCTCAGAGGCCAGGTCACCAGGCAGCTTCGGCACGGAGCATCTTGAGACAATTCAAATTGGGCACCGCACAGCCACGGGCCGGCTCAGTGAGGAGCCCAGGGGACAAGAATGGACTGGTCTGGTCTTATCTCTGCTTCCATGGAATTTGCCATCAAGAGGCAGGCAACCCTGGAGACACAGGACGGGTCACGTAGGACACAGAGGGGGAAGCACATCCTAGTGACCAGGGTGGGAGGAAGCCCCCTCTTGGGGGCCAGCTGCCTGATGTGGATCAGGAGGACCATCCTTCCCGGGAGAGGCTGCGCAGGCCGGGAGGCAAAAACCCCAGGTGTGGGCGTGGCCAGGGCTGGGGGCGTGGCCAGGTGCCGGGGGCGTGGCCAGGGCCTGGGATGCGGCAGGAAGGGCAGGAAGGTGGCAGGGGCCCCAGGCCAGACCCCAGAGGGTCTCTGGGTCCCCTGGGGTGGGGGCTTCTTTCCCAAGCAGATCCCTTCCCTCCCAGCCTGGGGCTCCCACTCTGTGAACAAAGGGACCAGAAGCTGGCTGTGGGAGCCCTGTCCTTCTGGCCCCCAGCTCCAGCAGGTCACTCAGCCATGCTGGGTGCCAGGGACCTGGAGAAGAACATGCTGCCCCTTCCATGGGCTCTGCAACCTGCCCACGTGTGGGGGCAGAGGCAGGGCCAAGCACACTGCGCACCCTGTTCCCACAGTCCTTCCCGGGGAAACGCCGGTCACAGTGACCTTCAGAGGCCGCTGGAGAAAGAGACCAGCTGGCCACTTGCAGCCTGGGCAGGGGGCGGGGAGGTTGGGGGGTTAATTCCTGTGTGGCCGCCTGTGTGTCCACAAGAGAGGCCCCCTGCCATCAGGGACACACCCACCTGCTTAGCCGCAGGTGGCAACTACTCCTCATTTCCTCCTGAGTCTGAAAATGTGGTGAGAAAGTCCATCTCTCCTTTCTGGAAGGTTCTGTGACTAATGTATGCAACAGGGTGGCTAGTGGGCCTCAGTGTCCCCAGGAGCTCAAGGGCTCAGTGGTCAGTGTCCCAGCTCATGGCCTCTGGTCTCTGGGGCCCAGGGGGGCCCAGGCCCCAGCCACCATCGGAACTGCCCGAGGCCATGCTGCTGTCTGTGTGTGTGTGTGGGGGAGGCACTGGGGGGCACAGTCCTCTTGGCCTCTGTGCTTCTCCGGAAAGTGCAGACCTCTGACGGCCTTGCACACTTGTCCCCTGCTTTGTCTAGGAGGGGGTCACTGGGGGCGGTGCCTCTGGTCCCAACTAAGGGCCCCTCTCACCCAGGCTTTTTCAGTGGGGGGCAGGCCAGAGGAGAAAGACCAAGCATCGCCCCCCTTCAAGGGGGTCTCAAACAGGTTACAGGACCCTTCAGGCCCACCTGTGGCCCAGCAGTTATGTGAGGGCCAACAAGGACCACCACTGTCTGGGCCACCGTCTGCACAGACACTGCCCAGCCCCCCCCAACCCCTGAGTTTCCAGGGTCACGGCAGAGTGCTGGCCAGAGGCGGAGCCAAACCCTGTTTTCTACTGACCAGTCCCCCAGGTCAGATTCACTCCTGGACATCTGTGGGGTGTGAGTCTCTGAGGGTGAATTCTGGGGCTCGGGGTGCCCCTCCACCCTGCAGCTGCCATGAAAGGACGATGTTTGGAAAACAGCCATCGCAGGCAGATGCTCCGCCCTACCCAGGCAGCCTGGAAGGACGGCACTGGCTCTCCGCCCCTCCCCCACCAATCCCCCCCCTCCCCGCACCGCCCTCCCAGCCTCCGAGCACCGGAAGCCGGGGTGCTGGGCCTCTGGGGCCCAGGAGTCCAGCCCTAATGCCACTGTGCTCTTTCCCATAAAACCAGGACACCATTATTCACAGGGCAAGATTATTATCTTCCTACCGTTAGGGAAGAACAAAACTCAAAGCACAAAGATACGTTTTCTTGGCAAAGGAGAAACTAATCCAGGTTCCCCGGCGGCCCCCTCCCCACCCAGCTCCGGGTGTGAATGAGCCCGTGGGGGCAAGAGATTGGACTACCAGCAGTGAACCCCCCCCCCCTCAGCAGCGAAAGGTGCAGAGTCAGTGCATTCCAGTGTCTCCACGGCCCTCCTGCCTGTTTGGAAAAGGCTTTGCTCCTTAAAAAGATGCGAAGAACCGCTTTTGACCTGAGCTGGTGAAGGTTGGAGTTTGATCGCTGTTGAAGAAAGGTGACTGCACAGGTCTGATGTAAAACCGTTGAAACAGCGTTATAAGGAGGCTGGCAGAGCCGTCCCTGGGGTAGGAGAGGAAAAGGACAGAGACTGGACTGAGAGAAATGACCGTCTCTGCAGCCTGGCTGGCTGTCGCCAGGCAGGAGCCTGTACTGCCCACAGTGTCCTCCAGGGTCCCCTGGTCTGACCTCCCTCTGACAGCTGCCCAGAGAGGACAGGGTAGGGCGGAGACACTGAGGTGCCCGCCCCCACCCCCAGCTCTCAGGGTGGCCGGAGCCAAGTCCTGGGCTCTGCAGAGGTCGGGCCGAGGGGCTGCCCATGGAGCACACACGCCCTCCACACGAGGGGTTCCTCGAGTTCCCTCCGGAACACAGAACGCTCTGGAGGCTGAACTCCGAGTGCCCCTGAACAGTTATACGGGTGGAAGTACCAGGGACAGGGAGATGGATGCACACCTCTCTCTGTACACCTGCCCCCCACTCACCATAGACACTGGCCAGGTGTGTCCAAGGATGTCGGATGTCCCTGGGGAAATACACAGACTTTCCAGGGGAGGGGTGACCCTGGGGAGCCCCCACATTCCCAGCAGCAGGTCCTGGGGGAAAGCCCAGCCGACGTCCAGGGTTCTGCAGATGGTGCCGCCCTTGAACCTGCAAGGGGGACAGGTCTTCTGAGTAGAAGGTGCTGTCACTTGCAGGTCAGCAACGGGCCCTGTGGCCCCTGAGCAGCCATGGCCCCCGAGATGGTGGGGTGTCTGCCAGGAGCATCCTTGCCTGACCACGAAGATGCCGCCTCTTCCCTCCCTCGCTCCCCTGCGCGTCCCTCACTGAAGGACAGTTGACTCGCTCCTGCAGCCCCCGGCCTTGGGACCCCTGGGTCCCAACCACGCTGAAACTGGGCCAGAAACTTTAATACGGCGACAATTCAGAAAACACAGCCCCCCCCTTGGTGGGGGAACTCTGTGTGGTAAGGGAGACAGCTTCCCGGACCAGAGAACCCCACTTCGGTTCCGCACTTCCTCTCATCCCACGAGCACTGAGTGACAGCTCTTTCTAAAGGACAGATGAGGGGTGGAGATTATTGTCACCAGGCGGACCTGATGGTGTCACAGATAAATAACTGGGCACCACCAGGCCTCAGAGACACGAGGACCCTGTCATACAACAGAGTCTCCATGGACCTGAGGGAAGAGCGTCCGGGGAAAATCATTTTCAAAAGGTTCCCAGATGCTCTCGGCTGCTTTGCAACCTCACCCGAGTCCTGGCACAGGTGAGCCGAGCCCTGGCACAGGTGAGCCGAGCCCTGGCACAGGTGAGCTGAGCCTGGCACAGGTGAGCCGAGCCCTGGCACAGGTGAGCCGAGCCCTGGCA